GCCGCTGCCCACCTTCCGCTGGGAGCAGATCCGCTCGCACAACCTGCCGGGCGACAAGTGGCTGGTCATCGAGCGTCGCGTCTACGACATCAGCCGCTGGGCACAGCGGCACCCGGGGGGCAGCCGCCTCATCGGCCACCACGGCGCGGAGGACGCCACGGTAAGGAAGCCCACCGCTGGCGGGGTGGAGCCTGGCGCGCGCTGGGGCCTGGTCGTGGGCGCTTTGCCCTGCTCCACCTGCGGGGTCTTGGCATACTTTCTCCTCTCGCTGACCTTTGACCTCCAGGCCAGGGACCCAGAGTTGGGACGGACTAGCCAGGGCCTGATGTGGGGTAAGGAGGCCGCGTCCCTGCATGGAGGACCGCACACTGGGCCTTGGACCAGGGCTGGGCTGGAGCAGGGCTGTGCTGCAGGGAGGGTGTCTCAGAGGTGGGTGTGTCCTGGTGGAAAGAGCCTGCCCTAGGTGAGGGCCCTTCCTGCTGCTCTGAGGTTCCTCCTCTCAGTTCTGAGTCCCCAGACCAGGTCCCTCAAGCCGGATGTTTGCTGGGTGCCAGAGGTAGGGCGAGGTCCCCAAGGGATGCAGAGATGTGCCTTCAGAGGCTGGGAGCTGGGCAGCGAAGCTTGGGCAGGGCCCAGAGGTCTGTGGCTTTCCCAAGAGCTGCTGTAAATGGCCCCGACGAGCAGTGACTCACCTCTCTTGGGCTGGCAGCTACACGTGGGAGAACTTTGCTAGCCAGGCTGGGTGGGCCTCCTCAGGAAGCACAGTCACCCCAGGACAGGTTGGCCCCTGGGGACCCCAACTTCGCCTTCCCAGCTCATGTCTAGACCTGTCTTGGCCAAGGAGGCATGTGGCCTGGTCCAGTGGGACCATCTGGCTGGAGTCCAGTGGCCGAGAAGATGACACTCCTTCACTGCCCCTGTCCTGCAGTCCCCCATCAGGAGAATAGGAGTTGCTATTATAGCATCTCCAGGATGCTCTGTCTTTGCCCATGCAAAATTCTAGGTTGGCCCCACTGGATACCAGGAATGTCTTAAGGATTCCAGGGGATGAATCCCTAACAGGCAGAACTTTAGGCAGCAGAAGAGATTGTGTCCTGTCCCAGGAGGGTCAGTGTCCCTGTTGCCAGCAGAGCCGCCTGCTCTCTGCCCTCTGCCTTCTCCCATGGGTTGGGCAATCTTCGCAGGACTCTTAGGGAAAAGTCTCTCTTCCCCACTTCTACCCCAGGAAGCTGAGGGGTTAGGGTCAGAAGCCTCCTGAAACTCTAGAAACTGACAGAAGCCTTGTCTGTAGGTGATGAGGCGCCGGGCGGTGGCCACGGAGTTGAAGCTGACCGTGGGCTAATGTGCGTGTGACCTGTTTGTGTGTGAACACTGCATGCGTTTGTGTGCGTGGTTGTATGTGCGTGTATTTCTGCCAGGATATGGGGGGTATGAGGTGCCACAGCCCCTCCCCCCTCAGCCTGACTAAGCCCCGGCCACCCCTCGAGGATCCCATGGGTGCCCGCTCTGGCCTTTTTCAACCTCTGACCTGTAGGACAGGATGGAGGCAGATGAGAGGAAGGACCACAAAGAGCATTTATTAATCGCTTTTTCCTGCTTGGTGCCCAGGCCTGTGCTGGGGGCCCTCCCCTGTGGGAACCCCATCATACAGTTAGCTCTCGACCCTGAGACCTCCAGCTGACAGTTTTCTCGTTGATTCATCACCAATAAGGTCTATTTCCCATTTCCAAAAGACAATCTGTCTGCTCCCTGGAGCTGGGTCCTGGCTCTGCCATTGGAGGCCCTGAGTGACCTTGAACCAGGCATGTCACTCCTCTGAGCCTTGTTTCCTCATCTGTAAAGTGGGGACAGCTGAGTGAGACAGTGAGCCAACTGAGGGCAGGACTGTGCCTTCTTAACTCCATGGCCCCTGGGCTGCCATGTGGTGGTTCTTGGTCAGTATATGTTGCTGGCTGATAAGTGTAAATGTGCCCCACAAACTGTAGAGTGCAGTGAACAGCCATGGCCTAGCCACTCCTTTGCTGGGTGACCTTGTCTGGTTCTATCCGTGTCTGTAACAGGAAGGAGCTGCATTAGGCCATCGCTTAGCTTCCTCAAGGCCCCACACACTGGGCTAGTGTTGCCAGAAATACCTGGTCTGTTCAGGCCAAAGGGGTTATGAGGTGGCTGGGGGTGGGGGCCCCCAGTCTTTGTCCACAGGGCAGACCAGGGATTGGACCAGCCCACTGCCCCATGTGGTCCAGCCCAGACCACAGGCGCCCCATCCCAGGCCCTGGAGCACAGGTGGGGCTGGGGCAGCCGTCTGGCAGGGCTGTGTTCCCGCAGCCACCTCTCACCAGCGCTGGCCGCCCATCAGCTGTTCTCATGTCCAGGCAACAGAAGCCTTCCTGCCAGGAAATTCCCAGAGTTCCTGTGCCGTGAAGTCAGCCTGTGGCCATCCTGGGATACAAAGCCGGGTACCCTGGGGAGACTGCTCTGGGCCCTGGGCCAGGTCTGTCTAAGAGTCAGAGGCGGCCTGAGACTAGAGGAGCCAGCCAGGGAGGGGCGAGGCCCGGCCGCCGCTGGGCAGAAGTCTACCAGGGCCGGGCGCCCAGCTCCCACTACGCGCTGGGCTCCAAATTCGGCACTTGATTCATAGATTCTCTTTTAATCCTCAAGATTCCCCTATGAAGCAGGTCCTACCATGGTTATTCCCACTTTACAGATGAGAAAACTGAGGCTCAGAGAGACTGGAAATTAAGTGGCAGGTCTGGGATTTGAATCCACAGCCTGTGCTCTTAACCACAGGCAACCCTGTGCCTTAGCTGCTGATTCCATTCATTCACTCTTCAATGAATGAATCATTAAACCCAGCAGCCGATATTCAATGAGCATCTCCTATACGCCAAACTCTCTTCTAACCTCTGAAGATGGAGCTGTGATCAAAACATTTGCAAGGAGGGAGTTCCTTGGCAGAGGGAACAGCTAGAGCAAAGGCTCAGAGGTGGGACCGTACCCCGCCCCATGCATTCAAAGAACACCAATGCTATCTGTGGCTGGAGCAGAGCAGTGGGAGAGGGGCAGGCAGTGAGATCCAGAGGTAGCAGGAAGCTCCTGCTAGGCTTCTGTGTCCTTGGAAGCAGGACTTTGATTTTATTCTAAGGGGGCCTTGGAGGGCAGAGCAGGGAAGCCGGGGAATCTGACATAGATTGAAAAAGATCCTTGGGGCTGGCCTGGTGGCATAGTGGTTGGGTTCACACGCTTCGCTTCGGCGTCCCAGAGTTTGCAGGTTTGAATCCTGGGCGTGGACCTACGCACCGTTCGTCAAGCCCTGCTGTGGTGGTGTCCCACATACACAATAGAGGAAGATGGACATGGATGTTAGCTCAGGGCTAATCTTGCTCAGCAAAAAGAGGAAGATTGGCAATGGATGTCAGCTCAGGGCCAATCTTCCTCACCAAAAGAAAAGAAAAGAAAAGGATCCTAATGGGAAAGGGGAAGGCAGAGTCTCCCAGGAGAAGAGCAGGGGGCTAAGGGAAGAGATGATGGGCACCTGGCTCTGCCAGGGGAGGCCATTCAGAAGAGGGGGCCATTCACCAGGGCCCTGAAGGGCAGGCGTGGCCAGGGCAGAGGGCAAGAGAGGCTGTGGGCGCAGGTGCACCAGCAGGAGCCATTAAGGTTTATTCAATGTGGTCTTCAGACAACAGCCTTAAGAGGCGGGTTGAATGTTAGCTCATTTCACAGACGGAGACTGAAGCTGAATAGGGATGATGTAAGGGACCTTCTTGGGGCCCGCGAAGGGCAGGGCCTTCATCCTTGGGTGTGGATGGTGGGGTTTGTGTCCAGGTGGGAGCTGGGGAGGGGCAGGCTCTGGAGTGAGGGTGGGGCTGTGGAGGGGGGCTGGCCATGAGCCAGACGACCTGGCTCCAGAGCCCACACTCTGCTTCCGCCCACCACGCTGGCTGCCCTGAAAGCCCCACTGCCTAATGGCCACTCCCCATGAAGTGTGACCTCTCTGGACTCGGTAGGCGTTTTCTGCAATGTCCCCACCCACCCAGGCCCCTTCCCAGGGGAGCTGCAGTGCCCGGCTCCCTCCCTGACTGTGTGGCACTGGGCAGGAACGCAGTGTGCAGAGGTGGGGATGCTGGCGGCCTAAGCTTGCTGGCAGCCCTCCCCGTTTCTTCCCGAAGGTCCCAAGCCGCTATGGGTTTCTGATGAAACAGCTGGGAAGAGCCAGAGCTCAGTGGTAGAGGGCCTGGCTGCTTTGGAGCCACCACTGGGTCCGTGACACCTGTGAGGCCAAGGGTACTGGGTGGAGGAAGCCCTAACATGTGTGCCGGCCCGTCACCAGGGACACCGGGGGTGCTGGGGGGACAGGGGCAGCTTCCCGGGGGCATCTGTCCTCGAGTTGGGCTCTGCTGTGCAACGGGAGTTGGATGTGCCATGTTTAGAGTTGTGTGCCTCAGTTTCCTCATCTATAAAATGGGGATCCTACTGAGAGCACTTCCCCACTGGCCTCCCACAAGGAGCGCCAGGGGGAGGAGGGGAAGGCGCATCGTAGTGTTGGGCACGAGACCTTGCTTTATCTTCCCACTGGGGAGGCGGGGAGGGAAGGATTCCTGGGGTGTCCTCTAAGGGACCTCCCCCCAACCCCCGTCTCCACCACCCACTGCCGCCTCCTCAGCAAGGGCTTAAGGAGCAGACCCAGCCCTGCTCCACTCCCTTCCTGATCTGGAACATTCTGCTGCCCCCATTCCCACTGTGGCTCTGGGGTGGAAGGAGGCTGCCAGCCCCTCCTGTTGCCCAGCCTCGGGCTGGCCAGGACTTAACTGGCAGGGCACGTTCCACTCTCCTACGCCACGCCCACAGGCACTAAATCTGAGTGGACCCAGGAGGAGGATGCTTCAGGCCAGTGGGCTCAGATCAGAGCTCGGCTGTGGAGTGCTTGATGGAGGCCAGGCCCCTTCGAAGTACTCCACCTGCCCTCACTCAGCCCTCCCAGCAGCCCCAGGAGATGAGCATTTGTGGTTCCAGATTTCCTGACGAGAAAATACGGAATGGAGAGGGGGTGTGAGCTCGTCTATGGCTTCAAGGCTCAGCTCATAAGTGGTGGCTCAGTTCCATCTCCGGCAGGCTGGCTCCAGAGCCCCCCCCGGCTCCGGCCCCTTAACCAGCTGCTCCACGGAGTTCATGGCTGGGCTGGGGGGCAGGGCAGGAGCCACTTTGAGGTTTCCAGGGACTGAGGCAGGGCTGTGTGATGGCTGTATCCTGGGAGGGCATGGACTTCCCCGAAGATAGAGCTGAGATCAAATCCCAGCTCATGGGTAAGGCTGACCCAAGTGGTCCTCTTCCTCTGACCACTGAACAGCCAGCTGACTCTCCGTCCGTCTGTCTGTCTGCTCTGCCCTTCCATCAACAGTCCTTCCACCTTGTCTCTGCCTGCTGCCTGTGGGTGTTGCTCCAACTGTCTGTCTGTGCACCTGACTGTCTGCTCTCCTTCAGGATGCCTTCCGTGCCTTCCACCAGGACCTCGATTTTGTACGCAAGTTCCTGCAGCCCCTGCTGATCGGAGAGCTGGCACCAGAGGAGCCCAGCCAGGATGGACCCCAGAATGTGAGCCGGGCCCTGGTGAAGGCTGAGCCCCCAGTGGGAGGCTGGAGGGGATGGGGGACATTGCCAGGAGCAGCTCCATCTGCATTAGCCCAAGGGGATCTGGGAGTAAGGCTGGGTTTGCCCTCCCTTCCTGGGCAGGCAGTTGTAGGCAGAGTTGTAGGGCACCTGAGGAGCCCAGGGCCCCAGATCTGGCTGGGCCAGCACTTGCTGTGGGTCCCCAGCCCAACCCCTTCTGTGCTCTGGGCCCAACATCCCCATCTACAAGGAGGATTTTGATGAGCTGAGCTCTAAGGGTTTTCCCTGCTCCAGGTTTCTCTTCTTCTGGACGTACCCCACACCTTTTGTCGGGGGAGCCTTAGCCACAGCCAGCTCATACCCCAGCTCACACCCCAGGCTGGGGGCTCTCGTCCCTCATCCCTTTGGCCACACCCCTTGGAAGCTCTGGAGGGCTTCTGGGGATGACCCGGGCCTCGCTTCCTCGGCTGACCCGCCCCTCCGCCATGGCAGGCCCAGCTGATCGAGGACTTCCGAGCCCTGCGCCGAGCAGCTGAGGAGATGAAGCTGTTTGAGGCCAAGCCCACCTTCTTCGCCTTCCTGCTGGGCCACATCCTGGCCATGGAGGTGCTCTCCTGGCTCATCGTCTACCTCCTGGGCCCCGGCTGGGTGCCCAGCACCCTCGCCGCCCTCATCCTCGCTGTCTCCCAGGTGACCCCAGCACAGCCACCAAACTGTCCTCAGACATGGGGCCAGCACACACACTCTGGACATGTTTGCTGAATGAATGAATGAGCAGCCAGTAGCCCCATAAAGTGTGGATCTGTGGGTCAGGCTGCATTTTAAATGAGCTTGAGGAAGCTCCTTATTTAATAAACCCTGAGCGAGCACCGGGCGAGGAGCCAGAAGGCCGCTGTCCCACAGCTCCGTGGCAGACTTGCAAGCCCCTAGACCTCCCAAAACGCAGTTGTCCCTGTCTGTAAAAAGAGACGGCTGGCCCACAAGGGTCTAAAAACGGAATATTAGCTGTGGGCATGCCCCGCGAGCTAGAAGGGCTCATTGGGGCTCCAGGGCTGGGCCCCCAGGTGCCAGCACCCTCCTCCATGGCCAGAGGCAAGGTACCAAAGCCCCTGACCCTGCCTTTCTCTCCAGGCTCAGTCCTGGTGTCTGCAGCACGACCTGGGCCACACCTCGGTCTTCCGGAAGTCCCGGTGGAACCACCTGGCCCAGCAGTTTGTGATGGGGCAGCTGAAGGTGAGGGCGGGGGTGGGTGGTAGGCAGCCGGGTCTGAGTTGGGGTGCTGTGCTGGGTCCACCCATGGAGTTGTGGACACGGCCTGGCTCCACCCCTGAGAGCGCCCCCTCATTGCCTACAGGGCTTCTCTGCCCACTGGTGGAACTTCCGCCATTTCCAGCATCACGCCAAGCCCAACATCTTCCACAAAGACCCAGATGTGACCGTGGCTCCCATCTTCCTCCTGGGAGAATCATCCATTGAGGTACGTGGTGGGGACATGGACACGTTCAGGTTGGGCCTGCAGCTGAGGGGGGACTGGTAACCACTGAGCCCTCACTGTGGCCCAGCCCCAGTCCCTGACCAAGTTCCCCACTCTAGCTCCAGGCTGAGCCCCTGCCCCAGAGGTAACCCCTCCCCACTTCCCAGCCTGCTGGGGACAATGGGCCTCGTTGCCTTTGCCCCTTGGCCCCCTGACCCTGCCTGGAGGGAGGAGGGCCCGGAGAGCTGCTCTCCCCAGCTGCCGCCTGTCTCCACAGTATGGCAAGAAGAAGCGCAGATACTTACCCTACAACCACCAGCACCTGTACTTCTTCCTGAGTGAGTGTCCATTTGTCCTCCTGGGGTGGGGGCCTGGCTGGGGCGGGGACCATGCCTGAGCCTGCGCTGGCCACGCCACACCCCGCCATCACTGGACAGCTTCCAGCCACCTCCCGAGGAAGGGGCAGCCTTGTTAACCCTCCCTCCGCAGGGCGCCTCCAAGCTCTCCCAGCCTCTGCTCTGGGCGCCCCAGCCCTCAGCCCGTGCTCTCTCGCACCGCCAGGCCTCTGCCTGGGGTGCCTTCTGGCCAGGGGCTGTCCCAGCTCCACTGGAACCTTCCCACCTCCCAGTCAGAATTCCTTCCAGCCCTCAAGTCAGGGCAGTCCAGAGCCCTAGAGCATTTAGGCCATTGTTGGGGCCAACGGGGTGAAGATTAAAGGGTGGGGACGAGTAGGGCTAGTTCCCACCTGCAGAGGGGACAGAGGAGGCAGTGGGGTGAGGGCCAGCCTGGGGAGGCTCAGCGCCGAGGGAAGAACGTGGATGATGAGGGGTCATCAGCTAGATAGGACCAGCACCAAGTCCCACTGGCGTCCCCAGAGGAACAGAGCCCCACTCACTACCCCCCACTCCCCCTGCTCCGTGCCCCGGCCCTCCTCCTGAGCCCTCTCATGCCCCCACTTGCAGTCGGCCCGCCGCTCCTCACCCTGGTGAACTTTGAGGTGGAAAATCTGGCATACATGCTGGTGTGCCTGCAGTGGGCGGTGAGTGGGGGCCCTGCTCAGGTCCCCCGGGGAATACAGTGGTGGTGGCGGGAGGTGGGGCTTCAGGGCGCAGCGCTGTCCACCAATGCGAACAGGTGTGCGCGTGTGCACGTGATGGTGTGGTACACGTGTGTGTGTGTGTGCGCGTGTACGTGCAGCGAGCCAGCAAGTGTGAGCAGGGCACCATGGGGGCTCTCCTCCCTCGGGGAAGATCCACTGGGCCGACTCTGCTGGACATTTGTCTCCCAGGCAGGGGCTCCCCCATCTCACCTCCATGCTCGGCCCTGCGAGGCTGGCAGGCAAGGACCCAGTCCCTTTACCTTGAGGCCCAGACAGGGGCGGTGGCCTGTCCGGGGCCCCGAGGCACATCAAGCAGAAGGGGTGGATGACCCCAGCCCCCCTCCAGCTGCCTCGCGGCCTCTGCCTTCCTCCACCCTCCTCTGCAGGACTTGCTCTGGGCCGCCAGCTTCTACTTCCGCTTCTTCTTGTCCTACATCCCCTTCTATGGCGTTCCTGGGGCGGCGATCCTCTATGTGGTTGTCAGGTAAGGCCAGATTCGGAAGGGCAGGGAGTGGGGAGGTCACACACAGGCAGCAGGGGGCCCTGACCGCAGCCCTCCATCCTCAGAGCCTCCGTTTCCCCGTCTGCAGAATGGGACAGCAGGGCCGCCTCCCTGGCTTGTTGAGGAATCTAACACGAGAGGAACGGGAGCCCAGGGGCGGCGGGTCTGGGGAAGCGGCCTGACTGGCAAGTGGCCCTGTGGGTGTCTGCCTCCATGAGCAGGGCGGCTCGGGGCTCAGCCTGGCAGTGAACCCTGCTCCACTCACCAGCAGGGGAGGGCTTACTGCAATCCCATTGTCCATTTGGGGAAGCTGAGGCCCAGGTCTGGCCTCAGTGGTGAGCTGGACGTGGGGCAGTGCCTGAGCCTCCCCGCAGGGTCCTGGAGAGCCACTGGTTCGTGTGGATCACGCAGATGAACCACATCCCCAAGGAGATCGGCCATGAGAAGCACCGCGACTGGACCAGCTCGCAGGTGGGCAGCAGGGGTGGGGCTGGGCAGAGTACATCCTGGGTGGGGGTGGGGTCCCAGCTGGGAGGGATAGAGCCCCTAACGGGGCCGCCAGGTTCAGGGGATACCACGGGATCAGGGCTCCATGCCAGCCTCCCTCACCTCTGCCCTGTCCGCTCCTGGCAGCTGGCAGCCACCTGCAACGTGGAGCCCTCGCTCTTCCTCGACTGGTTCAGCGGGCACCTCAACTTCCAGATTGAGCACCAGTGAGTACAGGCCTGGGGGGGTCATGGCGGGGGAGTGAGGCCTGAGCCCAGGGGCTGGCCAGGAGCTTCTCTGTCCAGTCGTTCCTGTTCCCGGGGGAAGCCAAGACGCCCTGGGGGCCCAGGTGGTGATGGGTGGGCGGGGCTCCCTCTGGCACCCCCCACCCCAGGTGCCAGCGCACGCTCTCCCCCGCAGCCTCTTCCCCACGATGCCAAGACACAACTACCGCAGGGTAGCCCCGCTAGTCAAGGCTCTATGCGCCAAGCACGGCCTCAGCTACGAGGTGAAGCCCTTACTCACCGCCCTGGTGGACATCGTGGGGTGAGTGACTCACGGTGGCTCCCTCGGGGCCCTGCCCACCCTATCCCCGTTAACCCCCTCCTGAGCACCGCTCTCTGAGCCCACATGGGTCCCTCTCTAAGAGCTGGCATTCGAGGCCTTTCCTACCAGCTCTCTGTCCTCAGCCTGTGCCCTCCCTCCCTCCCTTCCCAGCATGCTCTCATGCAGCCAGGGCTTAGGGAGCAACCACTGGGCCCAGGCCCTGTCCTAGGTCCTATGAATACACCAGTGAGCAAAACAGAGCTGATGTCCTAGCAGGGGAAACGGAAAACAAGCAGTTAAAATAACAAGTAACTTGCAGAAAATGTGAGACAGGAGAAGGGCTTTGGCAAAAAAAAATAACGAAATAAAACCACTACACCTATGGGTAGGGGCAGGAGAGGAGCTGGGGAGTGCCGGACAGGGGTTGTAATTTTTAATAGGGTGGCAGGGCCGGGGGTGAGAAGGTGACATGTGAGCAGAGACCGGAAGGAGGGGAGAGGGCTGGCCACGGAGACGTCTGGGGGAAGAATGTTTTGGTCAAGGAAATGGCAGTGCAAAGGCCCTGAGGCAGGAGCCTGCTGGTGTGTGGGAGCCACAGAGCAGAGGAGGGACACGCAGGACTTAGATTTTGGAAAGATGCTCTGACTGCAGGAATGCACTGATGGGGCAAGATTGGACGGTCCTGCAGCTGTCCAGGCGAGGGAGGATGGGGCTCGGCCCCAGTGGTAGCCTTGGCGGTGGGGAACAGAGGCAGATTCCCCAGCCAGAGCTCTTCTACCTCTGTGCCTTGGCACATGCTGTTCCCTTTACTGGGGTGCCCTTCCTTTTGTACTGGCATTTGAACTCCTGCATGACCCTTCCCTGCCCAATCCTCCGAGCCCCTGCCCCTCGGCATGGCCCATTAGAATGCCTGGGACAGGGTTTCCTCGCAAGTCATTGATATTTCTGGCTCTTCTGCCTGACATCGGGCTCCTGGTGGGCAGGGTCCATGCCTTACAAATCTCTGGGTCTCAGGGCCCAGCAGGAGGCAATAGAGAGAGAGTGGGTGAAGGAGGGACAGGCCCACCCTGGCTCTTGCCTGGACTTGGCCTTGGCTGTTCCCCTCCCCCTCCCCCACCGGGGTCTAGATAACACTCTAGTTAATGAGAGTGTGGCCTCATCTCCCAATCCAGCCCTGCCCAGCTGCCTGCCCCAGGGGAAAGGGACACCCAGGGGAGTGGGGATATTTCTACTCACTCTCATCATCTTGGGAGGAGGGGGTTGTATCTTGCAATTGAGTCCCCAGCACCCACCCCGGCCCCGCCTCCCAGGTCCCTGAAGAAGTCTGGCAACGTCTGGCTGGAAGCCTACCTCCACCAGTGAAGGCACACCCAGGGTCCCGCAACCACCAAGCCAGCCCAGGCAGGCTCAACGACACCCCCCACCCTCCTGCCTGGGGGGCCCTGCTACCCTCTTCATCCTGCTGTCTTCTCCTCGGTCCCCTCGCCTGTCTGCTCGGCAGCCCTAAGGCCGCGGTTCTCGGTCCAACAGGACCAGGGCTGGGGGATGGTACATAAAGCCACACGGTGAGCATGGCATGTTTTCCTAGAGCAAAATGTAGGGAAAACAGTTATTTTTATATAAAAACAAACCCAGATATATCATGGAGTAGAGTACTGAATGTGCATGAATTTTGAAGCTGGAGTCTGCCCCAGACTACCCAAGAGTTCAGGCCCTTGGGTCCTCAGGGTGTTGGGGGCAGGGGAGGATGGTGGCTTTTGGAGTCCCCTCCTCTCTGGGTCCGGGAGCTGGCAGCTGCCCGGGCTCGGATCTGCCCAAGGGCCTGGTCTCTTCCTGTTCTTACCCACTAACCAGCAGCCTGGGTAGGTCACGCTGGGTTCACCTCACTTTACTTCTCTGCACTGTAGGACAGGGGCTGGTCAGCAGATGAGGGCCCAGGGCTGAGGGCTGTGTCGGCAGGCGCCCCCAGAGCGCAGGAGAGGGAAGCCCGTATGTCCCGGCCCCGCGTTAGCTTCCTCCAGCAGCCTCCGTGATGAGGGGCCTCAGGGGGCCACAGGCAGGGGACCACCTGCCGATCTCGGTATTGCACTTGGCACCACGCGGGTGGGGGCGTGGCCTGACTGCGCTCAGTGGCCCACAGGAGGTGACACTGCATCTCCGCTGTGCCCGCCTGGGGCCAGGCGCTTGCCTGCAGTTGCTGCAGTGAATAAGCTGGACCTCTGGGAAATGCCCGTTTCTGTCCCTGGAGTCTGGGAGTGGCATCCGGGGGCTCACCATGGCCGGCCAGTATCCTTGGGCAGGGCGCTGCCCTTCCTCATCTGGAAAGTGTGTGTGGTTGGCCTGGGCCTATGGTTTTCGGACAGTTCTGGGGAGAGCTTTGAGTTGCTTCTTGGGGCTTCTAGAAGGTGGGAAGAAGGGAGAGCTGGGAGGCTGGACACCCCGCTCCCAGCACCCATGCACTTCACCAGCTCCAGGCTGAGCTGAAGGTTTCATTTAAGAAGTGTCAGCAGCTTGAAAAAAAAAAAACTTGAAATGCAGAGCTAGGGTTTCTCTGAGGACGTTTCTGGAGAGGGAGCTGAAGTCTCCCCACCAGCTGCAGGATTGCCCCCTCCCCACTCTTTGTCAGGGTTTCTATTGCCCTGAACTGGGTCCCCTTCAGGAAGAGGCACAAATACTGCGGCAATTCTGGCTCCATCCTCCCCAGGCCCCCCCCAGCCCCACCCCGGTCCACTCCACACAGCTCCCATCCCCTCTTCTGTGGAGTCTGGCAGACCAGGGGGCGTGTCCTGCCTCTGCCAGGACTCAAGGCTGTATCATCTTGGGGAAGTTATTCAACCTCACTGAGAGGGTGTGTGACCTCCTAGGGTAATGGAAGATAAAAGGGATGCTGTGTGGAAGGCTCTTTGCATAGAGCCGAGCAACAGGGCTCAGAAATGGGAGATAAACAAACATAGATAAGGAGAAGATTAGTGGTTACCAGAGGAGAAGGAGGTGGGGGGAGGGTGAAAGGGGTAAAGGGGCACATATGTGTGGTGACGGATAAAAACGAGACTATTGATGGGGAAAACGATGCAGTCTATAAACTGAAATATAATAATGTACACCTGAAATGTACACACTGTTAAAAGCCAGTATGACCTCAATAAAAAAAGAATAAAAAAAAAAAAGCCAATCCTAAAAAAAAAAATTTATGCACACAGTCCAACGCCCTGGGGCCACCACCTGCCTTGACCTGGGATAAACGCTTGGCTGTCTCTGAGCCTCTTTCCCCCTTGCAAGGTACTTCCTGCCTTCACAGCAAACTCTTTTATGTCTAGAGTAGGCCCCACATTCAGGGTCCCTGCACAGCTGTTAGTCCCCCTTCCTGCGGCCGCTGTGGAAGCCCTGGGCGGGCGGGCGGTGCATTTCCTGCAGAGGCTCTGAGGCGCTTATCAGGGAGATGTTAACACTGGTCTCCGGGGCAGCGCGTCGCCACCCAGCAGGAACGCTGGACCTGCAGCGCCACCCAGGGGCGCCCGGAGTAACTGCACCATTGTGGGGCAGGCCGTGCTCCGTGCTGCCCCTGGTGGTGGCCGCGGGGAGTGCGCCCTCCCGTCTGCAAACTGGTAGTTGCCTAGTAACTTGCTTGAGGACCCTAGGGGAGGCCCTCTGGCCTCAAGCAGCCCCACCCCACCCCCACCCCCCGCTAGATCTCTCCTTATTGCCTGCAATCCTTCACAAGGGTGGGTCATCTTTGCTGTTGTCCCACTCTGTCTCCCATGCTAGAGCCACTGGGGACAGGTCACCATCCCTCCTGAGCTGAGTTCCCCCTTCTCTGTAGGTTTCTTATGCAGGCAGGGAACAAAAATTTAGGGAGCTTGGGCAGGGTTTATAAAATGGAGGAGGGAGGGTCTTGGGGGAGCCTCTGAGAAACCCTGTGTCCCTGCTTTATGGTCTGCACAGTGTTGGGCTCAGAGGAAAAACAAAACTTCCGAGAAGCCATGACTGGTTTATTCATTCGTTCAATCAACAAGCATTTCCGGCGTGTCCCATGGGGTGGCCTGGGGCAGATGGAAAAGGAGATTCGCAGAAGCCAGCCCTGCTGTAATGTTGGGAGTGGCTGGTGGGGGGTGACAGACTCCTTTGTGACAGGACCCCGCACAGCCTCCCCCACGTGTCCTGGAGCACCTGGCTGCCTCAGGCTCCGTGGCCCTTTCCAAGCTCCGGGTGCCTGTCGCTCATTCTCCTGGATACTGGCTCTTGAACCAGATGATTTGGAAGACCTCAAGGCCTTCAAAACTCAGAGAAACGTATTTATGATGGCGGAGGACAGTGGAGACAGAGCTTTAAACCTAGCATGCTAGGTGGCCGCTGGTTTTGCTTATGCGTGGGCCAGTCTGGTTAGAAACGTAAGAACACTGGACTTCCACACCTGGGGCCCGCCTTCCCTACTGAGGCCTGTTTCTTCATAGATGGTTGTGGGTGCCCCCTAGGATCCATCTCAGACATGAGACCAAGGGCTCTTTGAGAGGCTGCGTCCTGTCCAGAGGGCACACCTTTCCACCTCTCTGGGGATGGTGCAGCTGAGACAGCTGAGGAGTCTTGATTGGCTCAAGGCACTGTGTCACCTGAGCAGTGGTGGTCACTCTGAGCCCAGCCCAGGTGGCTGCCACCTCTGCCTGCCCCTTCTCACCAAAGTCCTCCTGTCTCCTCCCAATGGGCCAAGAGGTTCTGAGTGTCCTGCTGGATGCCCAAAGAACTTGTCAGGCCGCTGACTGCCTCTGGGGCTCCAGGTCCACACAATGTCCAGGCTGCTCTGTCAGCCCCTCCTCTAGGCCTGGTGTCCTGCACACGCCCATGCCACCCACCAAGCTGATACCCTTTTATCGGGCTGGCGACCGCACATGGGTGAGCTCTTATCTCCTCCGCAGGGACTAATTCTCTCACTGTCTCCACCTGCTCTGGCCAGCCGTTGGGCCTCTTGGGAGCAGTCTGACATCTGGCATGATGGGGCGGGGGATGCCTTGGTCTGGGAAACAGCCCTTCCCTGGCAGGGGGTGAAGGAGATGGGCAGGTGGAGGGCTGGGTGAGGAGCAGGGATCCCGTGTCATGCCCTGATCCAGCTGCTGTCACCCGGTGGCCTCAGGCCAGTCCTGTCCCCTCTGGTCTCAGCCTCCTGACCAGAGGGGAGTCTGGCAGAAGCCAGTTGACGTGAGGCTATGGGCAGACAGCTGGTCCCGGGATGAAGATGGGGAGAGACGTGGGGAATGAAGATATCAGGAAGGTGGCCTTTGCCCGCCCCTCCCGCTGCCCTCCAGAGACCTTCCGGAAAGCCTCACCTGGCTCCAGTGGCGTCATGGAGCTGGGTTTGCGTGAGCTGCTGAGTCCCCAGGAGGAGGAAGGAGGGCCCATCTATCTGGGTCATTTGCCCAAAATTCCTGGCCTGGAGCACACTTCAGGCAAGGGGAGAGGCCGTTCTCTCATGAGCAGAGGCAGCAGAGGGATCAGGGTGGGTGACCCTAGGCAGGGAGAGGACAGAGGGAAAGGGCTACCCATGCCCACGCCAGCCTCCTCCCTGGTGCCCAGACCCCTGCTCCCGCTGTGAAGCCCCTTCCTCCATCCCAACACCCGCCCGGCATGAGCATGCAGAAGCACGAGGCCATCCGCTGATCAAGGCAGTGAGAATAAAATCACTTCTTTTATTTCCAAAAAATGGAGCGATGGGGGAACAACAAGATAAAAATTAAGATCAGTTCCCTATGGATCCATTCTGCCTCTGGGGAGAGACAGCAGCTCCTCAGCCGGCGGTGTGTTCTCAGCTGGAGGGCCCATGTTGCCACGGCAACCCGAAGGTCTGTCCACTAGATGCTGGTCCCTCCCAGCTGGCCAGAGCCGGGGGGGGGGCTAGAAGCCCTCCCCCAAAGGCGCCCACTCTGAGTTCATTCCTGCCCCGCCCTCCCCTGAAGCTAAATAGTGATTAGTGGGTTAGATCCTGGAATGCGGAATGCGGCAGCTCTGCACCCTGCCAGTGGCGGCGGGCTCCCCTCCCTCCCCTCTCACTTTCCACTCCCCTCAGCCCCAAATTCCTCCTTATCCCAGTTCCCACTTGGCCCTCATCAGGGCCCCCCTAATCCCCCCGCTCCTCAGCGTCACCTCCTCTGAGACTCCCTCCCTCTCTGCCCCCATTGCCCTCCTGACAGTCAGGGCCACCGTGGCCTCAGTGAGTGAGCCCAGCTCAGCCCACCGCCAGGGCCTGAGGGAGGCTGCGAGGGGCAGGTGGTAAAAGGCAGATTGTCACAAGGCCCAGCCCCGCTGCCACCCCAGTCACAAAGTATCCTGTAGCAAAAGGTTAAAAAACAGTAAAAGACACGAGAGAGCGGAAGACAGTGAGAAAGGACATCCGCTGGCAGCCCTGACATGGGGAGGGGCTGTGAGGAGCCCTCCAGCGCCCTCCTGCAGCCTGTAGGTCCCAAGATTGCTCAGGCCAAGTGACCAGGGACCGGCTGGCACTGCCTGGCAGGTAACAGAGCACTTCAGAGAAGGGTCCGATTGCTCCAGAATCCTGGGCCTTCCAACCAGAACCAACAGCAGAACGGGGGGGGGGGGGGGGACAGGGCTGAGCCTGCAGGCCAGCTGACCCCCCGACCTGGTCATTGCTTCTGCTGAGCCCACCTCCAGGACTGCTCGCTTGGACCCAAGGTCACTGGCTCTGGCTTCGGGAAGACGGTGGAAGGTGGGGGGGATGGAACTGCAGAAGCCCTGGGTCAGTGGGCTCCAGCGGGGCGAGGAGGTCACTTCTCAGGGCCCCGAGTTCTGAGCTGGCTGCACTGCAGGCAAAGGAAGCCTGGAATCGGGGCTGTGGCCCTGGACATCTGAAGAGAAGGTGCCACCCGCGGGGAGGCCCAAGTACCGATCTAGCGGTGGGAAGGACACCCTCCCACGAAAGGGTGGACGGTGTGTGGCCGTCAAAGGGTCGAGCCAGGCCTGCAGGCTCAGGGAGCCATCTTGCCCGAGTAGGACAGGACCCAGCCCCACGGACCTCAAGAGCATCTGAGGGAGAAAAGGGGGACGAGTGAGGCCTGGAGGCCGGGCTGCCAGGGAGGTCACAGGCCACTTCTGTGGACCTCTGGTCTGGCAGAGGGTGGAGGAGGGATGGAGTCTCCTCTCTCTCTGCTCCTGGGGGAAGGGGCTGGGAGGCGGCAGGGAGAAGCCAGGCAGACAGAGAGGGGGCTGGAGGGAGAAGTGAAGGGGAAAAGGAGAGAAAACAACAGAAAGACCAAAACTGAGGTCTGTGAGCCCCAGCCTCACGGATACCCCTCAGAACAAACCCCCCCTCCCTGGGCCATCACGCCCGCCTGCTCCCCCTTCCCCCTGGGTGCCCCAAGAGCTGCGGCTTCATTTGTGGAGGTAGGCGTCCAGCCACAGCTCCCCAGACTTCTTCAGGGACCTGGGAAGAGAGAGGGGTGGGGACAGTCAGGGACCAGGAGGGGAGGGCGGGCTGGGCAGGCCACGCTGGGGGCTTGGTGCTTCCTCTCAGCTCTCAACCAGGGGTGGCCACAGCTTCCAGGGCCTGCAGGGCTGCTAGATCAGGGCTCCACAAGGGACCCCCTATGGAGGACAAAGGGCAGGTCCTCATCCAGTCCAGAGAGAAGCCAGGCCATTCCTAGTAAGGGATGTGGCCTGGTGGGGGCACCTGTGTCAGCAGGGCTTGGCCCCTCTTGGCATGGCCACTGCGTGGTCTCCACCATGGGCGGTTCCAGCTATGTGCTTCTCAGTCGTCCCCGTGCCCCAGGGACCCCAGCAACCGCGGACTCCCCCCTCTTACTTGATGATGTCCAGCAGAGCCCTCAGCAGTGGCTTCTCCTGGTACTCGATACCGTACTTGGTGCACAGAGACTTCACCAGGGGGGCGACCTTGTGGAAGTTGTGCCGGGGCATGGTGGGAAAGAGGCTGGGGAGAGCATGGGGGCAGTGTGAGGACACCCCACCTCCTCTCGCACCCACACGAGGCGGGCTGGGCTCAGGGAGACCCTGTCCGCACCTCTCCTTCTGTGCCCACTGGGGTGGCTGGCACGTGGGGCGGGGCATGTCTGGGTGGGGGGTTGTTCTTGGACAGGGGTGTTTGTGCTCTGGGGAGCTGGAAAGAAATTGGATGGCCAGAGACAGAATATCATGTTTATCTAAAAAGGAAATGAAATGGGGGAGTGGTGAGAAGAGGAGAGAGATGGGGATGAGGGGAGGAGAGAGATGGGATGAGGGGAGGAGAGAGATGGGGTGAGGTGAAGAATTAGAGAGAATATGAGGAAAAGAGAAAAAAAGAGAAAGAGAATGAGGAAAAGAGAAAAGGAGAAGATGGGGGGAGAGAGATGGGGGAGGGGAGGGGAGAGACAGGGTGAGGGGAGGGGAGAGACAGGGTGAGGGGAGGGGAGAGACGGGGTGAGGGGAAAAGGGACAGTGACGGGGTGAGGTGAGGATGAGGGGCATCAGGGGAATGGGGGTCTGGAGGGCAGTCCCTCAGCTCTCTCTGTTCCAGGCAAGCTCTCTGACCTGGCTGGGCCTCAGTTTCCCTGTCAGTGAAGGACTCAGTCACCCTGCCCTCAGGCTCACTGTGCCAACTCTCTATAACTACAAAGCTCAGGCCACACGTGAGGGGTGGCTGTCACTATGACCGTGTGGCACAGGGCTGGGGCACTGACACACCTTGGGGAGACAGCACTGGGAGCTCCTCTGCTGCTCCAGGGCTGGGGGTAGGGGGATCTCACCAGGGAGGAGAGAGAGAGGTGGCCCCCACATGGTGCCCTCTGCCCAGATGGAGCCGGTGGCCACTTCTCCCGGCAGGATGTGGCCTGCCTGTGCCCAGCCCCGCCCGCGCCTGCACTCACTGGTGCTCGATCTGGAAGTTGAGGTGCCCACTGAACCAGTCATTGAAGAAGGACTGCTCCACGTTGCAGGTGGCTGACAGCTGTGGAGGGGAAGGTGGATGAGGGGCCAGGAGTAAAAGCAGGAAGGACCTCCTTCCCATGAGGCCCAGCCTTCCCCCTGGTCTCAGGGCCGCCCCTCCATGTCATACGTCCTGCCCGGAGTCCTCCGCCCACCCAGATTCCGTGCTCATCCCTCCCACAGATTCCTGCCAGCCTTTCTTGCTCAGCCCTGTGCTGACCAGCAGAAGGACACAAGCAGCCCCAGGGAAGCCTAGCCCAGCACTGGGTCCACTGGACAGCCACGTTTCTGGGGGCCGAGGACATGGACCTCGGTCCAGGCTCCACAGGGCTCTGGTGAGCATCTCTGCCACCCTCACCTGGCTGCTGAACCAGTCTCGGTACGGCTCGCGGTCAATCTCCATGGCGATGTGATTCATCTGCGTGACCCACACAAACCAGTGGCTTTCCAGGAACCTGAGGAGAGCACAGCTCAGCGCTGGGGCCCGTGCAGGCTTGTTCACCACGGGGCCCGGGCCATGTGGGGACAGATCCTCTCTCCCAACCCCAAGGGGCCCAGGCAGGTGCAGGGGGGCAATGCAGCCCCTGCTGAGGTGCCAGGACGTGAGGCCCAGGGCAGGAAGTGGGGACCTCTGAGCCTCTCCCCATGGGGCCCTCATGCCCAAGCCCCCATCAAGGCCAGCACTCAGCCCAGGGATTAACCAGCAAAGCTCGTGCACCTGACGAAGTTGAGGAAAAGGATGGCTCCCAGGATGCCATAGAAAGGGACGTAGGTGATGAAGAATCGGGCATAGTAGCTGATGGCCCAGACCAGGTCCTGCAGAGAGAAGCACGATTAGACATGGGACGGCCCCACCCTCCTTGGCACTGCGCCCCGACCACAGGTGTGTACACAGCACCTCACACTCCCCGCCAGGCAATGGTGTCCAAGAATCCCCGACAGGCCTCCAGGAAGTTGGGCACCAGGCCCATTAGGCACGCGACACCCGTACGCACAGGGTGTGTGTGGCTGCCTTTGTTTCTAGGGAAAGGCTGGGCGTTTTAGCAGCAGGAAGGGGGCTGTGTGCTCTGCTCCCAGGGAAAGAAACAGGGATGGGGACCAGGAAACCTCAGGCAGCCAGGCCTTTCGTGGTCCTGGGGGTTCTGAAGGGGCATACACAATCCGCACATACCCCCAACACCAGGCAGCCCACCAACTGCCCTTCAGCCTTGTCCGCGCCCGTCAGCACCTGGGCTGCTCTCCAGCATGACCTCACAGGAGAGCAAAGGCTAGGGACACCATCTGTCCCCTACCTCTGGGCCCTCCCAGCAACTTTTGACACTGCTGGCCCTCTTCTCGTGCCCGATTCTCCTCCCGTCCCCTCTCCACTCCGCTCTCCCTCCCTGCCCCGCATGGGGTGGGGTAACGGGGTCCTGAGCTGACCCGTCTTCCCTCACTTCCTGGGCAAGTCCCTCCCCAGGTTGCCCCCGCTGCGCCACCCTCCACGGCAGCCTGGCAGGCAGGCTGTCTGCCTCCTCTCTGCCACCAGAGTCCATGTGCCTCCACCAGACCACAGCAGTAGCCTCCCATCAGTCTCCAGCTTTCCCTCGTGCACCTGTGGCAACCAGAGTGACCTTCGTAGCACCAAGCAGCCCCCATCTCTCCCCTGCTGAGCCCTCCCATCCCACCCAGAGCAGCCAACAGAGCTCTGCAGCATCGGGAACCCCTCTCTCCTCAGTCACCCTGACCCAGCTTGTTCCCACCTGAGGGCCTTTGCACTGACTGTTTCCTCTGCTGGGAGTGCTCATGCAGTGGCTGGATCCCCCATCATTTCTCCCCAGACCCTCAGCAGGGTAGTGATCAGAGCGCAGGCTCCAGGCCAGGCTGCTGCATTAACTCCAGCCCTACTGGAATTCACCCACTAGCCATAGGTCATTTGCTTAGCTGTTCCTCGGTTCCCCATCTGCAGGATGGGGAGAGAACCCCCTACCAAGGTTCTACATGGGTTGAGTGTGTGTTGCAACAATAACTGTAGCCGGCAAGTCTGAGCCCTAAACGATTCCCATCGGTCCCTGCACCACTTTGCCACCATAGAGATCTTCCTGACATGCCAATGCGATCATTCCCCTGCCATCCTCAAAGTCATCACTGGCCTCCTTCCCCAGTGGGGATAAAGGATAAAATCCAGGGGGCTGACCTGGTGGCGTAGCAGCTAAGTTCACGTGCTCCGCTTTGGCGGCCCAGGGTTCACAGGTTCGGATCCCGGGTGCGGACCTACGCACCACTTATCAAGCCATGCTGAGGCAGCGTCCCATATACGAAGTAGAGGAGGATGGGTGCGGATGTTAGCCCAGGGCCAATCTTCCTCAGCAAAAAGAGGATGATTGGCAACAGATGTTAGCTCAGGGCTAATCTTCCTCACACACACAAAAAAGTCCAACCCCTGGGGTAGGCTGCACAGGCCTTTCACATGCCTGCCCACCGACCCGGCCTTATCTGCAGCCAGTCACCAGACCCATACGCGTCCAGCCAGGCCACGCTGCCTCCTTGCAGTGTCTGTGTCCAGGCTGGATCCACCCGGAGGCTCCTTCTGCCCTTATCTGCTTGGCAAACTCATCCTTCAATCCAGCTCTGTTCAGTTAAGCTCTACAGTCAGCAAATGCCTTCTCTATATCAGGGGCTGATTTAGGTGCTGGCGGCAAAAGGAGGTCCTTCAGAAGACAGGACTATCAAGAGATTCCTTCGATATCATATGGAAGGGGACAGATAGGGACAGGCACGATGGGAACAACCCTGGAGTTTAGGAAAGGCCTCCATCAGGAGGTGGTGCCTGGGCTGGGCTGCACCAAGCCAAGAACAGTAGGAAGGACCTTTGCAGAAGAGGCAAGGCTATGGAGAAAAGCCCAGCCAGGAGAGACCGCAGAGTGTGTGTGCCGGGGGAGGCGAGCGGGAAGGGGCTACATCTACATACAGATTCTATGTTCCATATACTCTAGTCCGAGAGCTCGAGGTGGGGGTGGGGGGCTGAAGCCAGGTCACATCTGCCTGGGGAGACTGACCTCTATCTCTTGGGAATGGAGAACCACTGAGAGCTTTAAACGACAGAGGAACACGGTCACATTTGGATCTTAAAATAGATCCCTGTCAACCGGGGATGGAGAGATGACATTATTTCAGTAGCTCAGACAGGAAATGATGGAGGCCCGAACCAGGACCCACGGCACTGATGAGGGAACATTCCAGAACTATTGAGGAGGCAGAGGCAGTTGCATTTGGGGACTGCTTGGTCACAAGGAATCTAGGTTGGTCCCTGGCATTGGCGCCATCCGCTGAGTAGGAAGAAGGAGGGGAGCATCGGGGGAGGGGAGAGTCTGAAGGGCCAGCAGTGGCCCAAGGGCAAGACGTTGGGACCAACGAGGTGGTCTTTAAGGGGGTGGAAGAAGCAAATCTTACAAATTCTCCTCCTAATTTTCATCACATTCATTTATTTATTTATTTATTTTTGTGAGGAAGATCGGCCCTGAGCTAACATCTGCCAATCCTCCTCTTTTTGCTGAGGAAGACTGGCCCTGGGCTAACATCCATGCCCATCTTCCTCCACTTTATATGGGACGCCGCCACAGCATGGCTTGACAAGCAGTGCCTCGGTGCACGCCCGGGATCCGAACCAGCGAACCCCGGGCCGCGGCAGTGCAGCGCGCACACTTAACCGCTTGCACCACCGGGCCGGCCCCTCATCACGTTCATTTTAATTTCTTTTGTGTGTAGGTAGGGCAGTAATAAGTACCTATATATTAACAGCGGTGCATGCTTGCTTATTTATTTTTGTGCAAAGTGATCCATGACCACAGGACCACTGGTTTCAGGGGTAGGGAGTGAAGGAGGTGCAGGGAAACAGTCAGAGAGATGGAGGACAGCCAGCAGAGGCGGCCCTTGGAAGCCGACAGGGAGAATTTCACCAGGGAGTGGCGAGTGGTGTCACATACAGCAGACCTCCTGGAATGGGCAATGCTGCCTGATGAGTAAAAACCTCTCTCCTTGAAGCTCTTGGAGCACATCAACCCCTCTCCTCCAGGCCAGGGTTTCTCAACCTCCATGTGATTGGCATTTGGGGCTGGATTATTCTTCATTGTGGGGGCTGTCCTGTGCATGGTGGGATCCCCCTGGCTAGATGCCCACTAGACGCCAGTAGCACTCCATCCCCACGCCCCGAGTTGTGACAATCAAAAATGTCTCCCGATATTGCCAAACGGCCCAACAGAACCGCCCCTGTTGAGGACCGCTGCCCCAGGTCACACCTGCACTTTGCACTCAAGCTCGCTGTCACTGTGAATCAGAAAAGCACATCGCAGGGCATGCCTCCGCCCCACGCGGTCACGGTCCCCTGATCGGGGCGCTGGGTCTCATCCACCTTGAATCCCCAGTGCCAAGCTTGGGAGCAGTCAGGAGGCCCAGCCCTCCCGCCCAGGCTGAACCCTACTCCCTGGCAGGGGCGAGGGCAGGGCGGCCGGCTCCCCACTGCCAGGCCTGAGTGCCCTATTAAATTTCCCGGGCTCTGCCACCTGATCCCAGTCAGGTACACAGTCCAATTTCCTTTCGTCCTGTCCCTATTTAATGCTTTGTCCCTTAGAGAATGAACACAGTAAAAAAAAAAAAAGATTAAATATTCATGCCAGAGTCATCCGCCGTAAAAGCTGATTAAAACACACGCAGCAGCATCATGACCCAGCACAGCATGGCTCTCCTTCCTTTTCAGCTGTCACTGCTCCCAGCGCCCAGGTGAGCCCCGGTGGAACCAGCAGTCACCACAGGGCACAAGATCTGGTTCAAATTTCCACCACTTAACTGATCCGGAAACTCCATCCCTCCAGCCCGTACCTGCCTTGTCGGTCAAACAACGTTAAATGACGCGATGCAGGTGGCAGGGCTTAACTGTTCCTGGAACACAGTAAGTACTGACGAAATGCTCGCTTGGGGGAAAATAGTATGTCCCAGAAGTGAGTAGTGCAGGTTCTAGCAGCACAGGGCTGGCCAACTTCCAGACTCCCAGAGTCACAACTGCTCCCCAACCACCCCCACCGGCTCCCAAGTCAAAGTCCCCGCCCTCTTAGCAGAATCAACAGGCACGGCCCCTTTGCCCACAATTTCAATGAAAGAATGTCAGACAAAGTACTTGGAAGCCCTTAAAACGCTATACAAATACGAGGTATTGTTACTGGAGAGATGGGTGGCTGGGGTGTGGGAGGGGAAGTGCAGGACATAGCGTCAGGAGGCCTGGGTTCTAGTGCCTGACCGCCCCTTGGAGTCACCTTGGCAAGTCCCAAACTTTCAGTCTCCATATCTCCATTTATGAAGCTGAGTTTAAAAAAAAAGACCAGCAATACCTACTAAGTGACTGTCCACTTGGTCCTGAGGGCAGGGGTCCTGTCCTGGTGAACCCCATTCTGCCTAAAGCAGGCTCTGCCTATAGGGACTGCTGCCTCCAGGTCATTCCATCGTGGGCATATTATCCTCTTGCACAGATTCACGCCTGCACATCTACATAAAGCCATGGACCGATGCGTGCACCATGCTGTACGGCCCCTCTCTCCGGGGTCCCCTTCTCCCTCTCTGGAGGCAGAATCTGGAGATTCCGCCACGCCTGCTGTTATGGGTGGATTGTGTCCCCTAAAATGCAGATGTTGAAGTCCTAATCCCCAGGACCTCACAACGTGATCTCATTTGGAGTTAGGGTCATAGCAGATATGATTAGTTAACACAAAGTCATCAGGATGGGCCCAAATCCATTAGGGCTGGTGTCCGTATAAAAAGGGGACATTTGGACAGATACAGACACGCACGGAGGAAAGATGATGTAGAGACACACAGAAGAGATGGTGGCCATCCACAAGGAGAGAGGCCCAGACCAGATCCTTCCTCACAGCCCTCAGAAGGACCCACTCCGCCAACACCTTCATCTTGGACTTCTAGCCTCCGGAACTGTGAGACAATACAATTCTGGTGTTTCACACAACTGACACTCAGTTTGTGGTACTTTATTATGCAGCCTTAGCAAACTAATACACCTGTTGTCTCAGCCAATGCCTGGCTGATTCCATTTACCAACCGGAGTGCAGTGTGACCTGGTTCACAGGGCCTTAGGGGACGCATGGGGACATGGGAGGGCAATAGCTGCAGTGGAGTCTTGGATGGGTGGGCCGAATTTGGCTCTCATCACGTTGCCTTCAGGAATTTTCTGAGGGGGCTCTGCAAAGGCAGTGGCTCTCCCAATGGACCCCACCATGAGTGGGGGGGATCTTTAGGAGTAGGGTGCTACGGCCTTGCTGGCTCCTGGCAGCCTCAGAGCACATCTCCCTTCCTGAGAGTGACAGGGCAGCCAGGCCAGGAGGAGATGCCTGGGGCCCCACAGACCCCACAGAGATGCACGGGGGCACAGTGCAGGTCCCCAGGGTCCGCTCATCCCAGTCACCCTCCTCCCCCACTCCGGGCCCCCTTGACTCACCACCCAGTCTTTGCGAACGATCATGGTCTTGATGATCTGGTACTGGAAGTACGTAGGGATGAGCAGCGGAGGCCCAACTACAGGGAGAGAGCAGAGGCGCTTTGAGACGCCCTGTCTCGCCCAGCCCGGCCCGGACGACAGGGAGGAGCCGGGGGCAGAACACTGAATGTGGTGCCCAGCTCTGCAGCCCATGGGCAGAGGCAGCCGGGGGCCCTGGTGCCCGAGGATGGGGCTGGGAGCAAACAGCACGCCCACCTGGCACCCCATACACCCCCCAGGGATCTCTGAGGGTGAGACCCTGGGCCAGTGTGTGGGACTCTCTGGGCCTCTGTGTCCCATCTGGATCAGGGGCCAGGAGGGGTTTGCTCGGGCTGGCTGTTGTGGCCCCTCCTTCTCTAACAGGTTTAGTGTCACTTTCTGGGTCTGAAAAGGTGTCAGGTGGGAGGGGGATGGACGGCCGCTCTGTGGGGAGAAGGGCCCGGGGTGAGGTTGCGGGCGCCCCAGCACTCACTCAGGAAGAAGTATTCATGCTGGTGGTTGTAGGGCAGGTACTTTAGCTTCTTCTTGCCATACTGCGGAGAGAGCAGAGACCATGAGCACTCCGCCCTCGGACCCCACCCCACCCCCGTGCCCACACCCTGCTCAGGGGGGCCTCTGCCCCTCTCCTGTCAATCCACACCCTGGGCCCCTCAAGGCTGGGCCCCTCCAACCCTCTGGGCTCCTGGCTGCTCTGGCTAACAGCGGCCAACATCTCCTCAGCCCTAGCTGAGTGTGCCGACCCCGAGCTGCATCCCGTGCAGGCCTCAACGCAGGCACTTCCCCGAGAGCCCACAGGCCGGCGCTTCTGAAGCTGTTAAGTTCAAGGTCAAGTCATTGTCCAAGGCCACACTCAAAGTGGGCCCAGCTGGGATCTGAACCCAAGAAAGCTGACTCAGAGCCCGAGTGACAGGCACTAAATAAAAGTTTGCTGAGTGAATGCACAACTGAACAACCTACACAGGGGCACAGGCACCCAGAGGGAGCTCCTTGGTCAGTCCCCCCACCCCGCTGGGAGTGAGAAAATCTCCCAGGTCACCCTGGAGAGCTCCCCGGAGAGCTCTCTCCTGCAGCAGCCAGGAGAACCCAGGTAAGGGCCTGAGGAATTGCTAACAGTCACCAGGCTGGGAGCATCACCTCCCTGGAGCCTCCTGCTATTTTCGAAAGCTAATTACTCCTCCCAGGCGGATGCTTTCCACTTGAGGACACCGGCAGGTGAGAGGAGGCCACCACATGGACTCCTCGGGCCACCTTGGGTCACCTAATCCCACCTAGGGCACCAGTTCCCTCTCCATCAGAGCCTGCATCCCTGGGCAGCCTGGTGCCCGGGCATCCTCTGTACAAAGCTGCTCGTCACTCAGAGCATGAGCTGGTGTGGAGCCACTGCCCCACAGGACCAGCCTACTCTGGTCCTGCAGCCCTTTAATTCCAGGGTCCAGCCCCCTGGGGACCAGCCTGCTCTGTTCCTCTGGGACTGAGACCAAAAGATGCTGCTCGCAGGGTGGTATCTGCTCCTCTTGCTTGCGATGCTGGGAGTGTGTGCGGAGCCCAGGTCGGGACTCTGCTTCTCACCAGCACTGAGACCCTGCACAGGTCACTTAGCCCCTTTTGCTTCATTTGGCATCCAAGCCGCTGGTTGTTAAGAGGAGCCAATGAGAACATGGGTATAAGTGCCAGGCGCTGACCCCTGGGACAGTACCCCTCGTCCACCCTTCCCCGGGTCAGAAGGCCAGGGCCGTCCTCCTCCGACGGTGTCCATTCCTACTTATCACAGTCAGGAGATCAAAGCAAGTTAGAAATGGGGAAACCCTGGATGACGTGTAGGCCGGAGCCCCTGTTCTCCTGGTGAGAACACGGAGATGGAAGTGATTGTTGAAATCATAGGGACGGCCCACGGACTCCGTGAGGACGGGCCCTGGGTGGGAGCAAAGCCCAGCCTGTCCTCAGGACATGCATCTCGACGTCAGCGGCCACAGTCACGGCACACCTGGCCAAAGCACCACCAAAATCGATCCCTTTGTTCCGTGTGGCCTCCTGTGCCTTGGCAGGGGTCTCAATGGTCCCCAGAACGTGCGTCCATTTGCAGGAAGGCTGTCATTAAGGCCAGGATTGAGGCTGGCCTTGGAGAGGTCCCAGCCAGGGAGGCCTCAGAGGCAGTCTTGGACGATTTCCCAGGGAGGGGAGGGGCGGGGGGCACCCCCTGACTGGCCAGTGTTGGGGGGAGTACAGCTTCCCAGGGTCCCAGAGAGCATGTGGCCACAGAACAGGCCCCTGGATCCTGCTCTAAGCTCCTCCCAGAAGCCAGGAAACAGGCCCACAGGCACAGCATTTGTCGCAGGCTGCCCCAGCCCTGGACAGGAGCCCTCCCCACCACATCTCTGCCCCACGGTCATCCCAGGGGACCGCCCCAGGCCCAGAGGACCCTCTCAGGTTAGTCAGGCTCTACTTGGGAGTGAGCAGCCCAGGCAGGTCGGCAGAGACCAGAGGATCCCCATGGAAGGACTTAGAGGTGGCCGATCTGCTGGGGGCACCTGGAGAGTTTGTTTGAAGCTACATTTGCACAGCAAGCACATTTTTCATTGATTTATGGTGACCTTTAGGGGGGTGACAGAGATTACAGGGGCTGATGCTCCCCCAGCTGCTGGCTCCCATGTGCGCCCCTTCCATGCCCCACACTGTCGGGCGGGAGTCGATGAACCCCTCCCCCGGGCAGCGGAGGCCTTCCCATCAGCCTCTGTGGGTTCCCAGGCTTCGGGAGGCAGGGACTTGGGATTTGGAAACAATTTATTTGAGCAAATTTCTCCCCCCGCCCGAGCTTTGGGCTCTTTATTTGCAAAGTGGAGGTACGATGGGTACTTCATAGGGTTGTTGAGGGACATGAAGTGGCTATAAAAGCCCTTTGGGGTTGTGAACAAAAGGTTAGCCAGGTCACACGTGCACCTGTGTGCGGTGACACACTGAGACGTCACTGCACGTCTGTGCCCATCTTGGTGACCTCAGTCGGGGCAACGGCAAGGTCATCTGTCAGCGTACGACTGACCCACAGCTCTCGCTTCCCTCTGGCTCAGGGGTGCCAAGCCCGGCGTGTGGCTGACTTGCCAGCTCTTGTCTTTCACACACTTGGTTCTTCGCCAACACCTAGCCATACAAGTCATGGGCGCAGGGAAGGGACGGGGAGAGGTATTTTAGAATGCACCAAGCTAGGAGGAGGAGCTCCTGGCTTCTTAACTCATCAGAAAACTGCAGTCATCCTGCAAACACATTTCCCCAAGTGCCCACCAGGTGGTGACCCTGGGCAGGGTCCCACAGGACTCGGAAGCCCCACTTTGGAGCCGGACAGCCTGGGTTTGGAAGGTGGCAATGCCTTTTCTAGCTGTCACCTTGAGCATAGCTCTCTCAGCCTTAGTGGTTCCATCTATAAGATGGGTTTGATGATCGCTCCTGACTCACAGTTAAGCAAGGATGAAGTGATGTCCTGCACGCAGTGTCGGGCCCACAGACTCATTCAGGAAGAGTCTGCCTTCCTCCCCACTGGGGCCACAGGGCCTGGAGGACTCTCCTCCAAGAGAGTCCTCATCGCACACCGGGAGAAAGCTGGGTGGCGGGGCCGTCATATGGGAGACTCAAGGAAGACAGAGAGTGCTCTCACTCAGGCGATAGTACGGGTGGCTTGTGTGTCGAGACCCCCAGAAGGAGATGGTGGCACACGCAGGGCTCACTCTGACGTGTTCCCAAGCCCAGGCTGATAGGGGACGCAGGCCAAGGGCAGAGGGAGGGGGAGCGCTGCCAGCCTTGGTGGCCTGGCTTTCTGGAGGCCCATAACCCTTGGCCCCGGCCAGGCTGACCCTCCTGTGCTCAGCCTCTCCACGGACCACAAGGCGAGGCTTGGATTATGGGCTGAGGGGGTGCCAGGGGCATATGCAGGGAACTTTTGAGCTTTGAAACAAAATGTCTAAGGAATGACAAGGGCCTTCCTTGTCCGTTCAGGGGTGGGGGAGGGGAGCTGTCACAAAGCCCAGTCCTTGCCTCTGGGAATGAGCAAACTCAGAGAGAGAAAGGAGCAACATGGCCACACTAGGCATGCGCAGAATAGAAGAGCCCGGACCACGGACCCTGAGAGGAGGGCCATGGTGGCTCCAAGGGAGGACTAGTCACTTTGGCCTGTTCATGAAGGTCTGCCTGGAGCAGGAAGCCTGGAGGGTCAGCTGAGGTCAGGCAGAGCATCCCAGATGGGCAGAAAAGTGGAACCTGAGACAGGGAGGCAGAAACACTCCTGGCTTCTGCGAGCCCCTTGGCAGTGCTACAGGGATAATGGCCTCCCATTCCCTCCACCATATGGGAAAAAAAAGAAAGAAATGAGCGAAACAAGACCGGCACTGACATCACCACTATTTAATTCTGTTCTGGAAATTCCAGTAATGTCATAAAACCCAAACCAGAAATAAGAGTGTGACGCTATGAGAAAGGGAGTCTAAATATGCGTTATTTTCGGGCCGGCCCGTGGCGTAGCGGTTAAGTGCGCGCGCTCCGCTGCTGGTGGCCCAGGTTCGGATCCTTGGCGCGCACCGATGCACCGCGTGTGAGGCCATGCTGTGGCGGTGTCCCACATAAAGTGGAGGAAGATGGGCACGGATGTTAGCCCAGGGCCAGTCTTCCTCAGCAAAAAGAGGAGGATTGGCATGGATGTTAGCTCAGGGCTCATCTTCCTCACAAAAAAAAAAAAAAAAATCATTATTTTCAAGGATATGATTATGCCCCCAGGAAACCTCAAAGAACCAACAGAAAAAGAACTAGAATCATGAAGAGACATAATGGACACTAGTTGGACATAACTAGCCAAACAGCAACAGCTTTCCTGAATACCGGAGAAACCCCAATCCTAATGACAAAAATAGAAAATAGCTACGAAAAAATTGAAAAAGAAACATTCACAAGACATATAAAGGAAAGAATAAAGCCGTTCCAAGAGAGACAAAAGGAGACGAGTGAATGGAGACAGACATCTGATTCCTGGAGGGAAAGGCTGACCACAACAACGTAAATTCTTTCTAGAAGAGGAAAGCCCGCTACAAGCTTACAGTGAGTTATTACGTGCCAAGGATGGATCTCTGTGATGCCCAAGTCACCCAGACAGCGTCCCGTGGGAGGACAGACAGCCCAGACCAGGTGCTTGCTCTGCCACACGGAAGTGGTGGTGTGGCCCATTGGGGGAAAACTGTCTGACTCCGGAGGAATCTGAAAGTGGAACACCATCTTACCCAAGTCCCATTTGGCAAAAGTTAAAACAACCAAAAGTGAAACCACAAAACCCTGAAAATAATATGTATGAAGAACTTTCTGAGTATAAAAGAAATGAGGGGAAAAAATGAATACATCTTGCTACATAAAACAAACAAAATCCTCCCAGAAGTCATAAATAAGACCAAAACGAAGAAAACTAACTGGGAAAGGGGCTTCACTGTGAGACCCTCTGCAGCCGTCTGGCTGGGCTGGTTGGTTCATCTGTGCCTGGAGATAGGAGCCCTGGCCTCTTGGCTCTGGAGGCCAAAGACTGACTCAAGATCCCTAGGCCTGGCTGCCCAGGGCCGGTGGGTGGGCCTGGTATGGTGTGTGGGCCTGGCACGGGGAAAGTGCCATCACACTCATTGTCACCAGAGTCCCTTCCAGGTCAGCATGGTCCTGTGGACACAAGGGCGCAGCTCAACGAGGAACCCAGAAACAATCGGCCTTTTCTTTCCCCCATGAGTGTGTGAGAGAGGAAGATTTCCATGAGCACTGTGGCCCTGGCCATGGTCTTTCAAATGCCATTAGTAACTGGATAACCAGATGCCCTAAACCTCACCGCCCCACCCCCCCGCCCAAAAGCTGGGATCCGAGAAGTGTCTAGGGAGAGGAGATGTTGGAAGAGGCTTCACTGGCCACCACACAGAGAGGAAAGATGCCTTCTTGCCAGCATAGCTGGTGAGACTAGATTTTGCTGTCAAGGACACAGACAACATCTGTCAGGACAGCCAACAGCTCGACATGAAGCCTCACAGAGAAAGAGAAGCCTTTGTCTTCACTTATCAGAAGGCCCCATGTTAATCAGTTCTGCTATCTGGACACCTCGAATCAAAGCTAGCAAACTGTTGCCTAGAAGAAAAACACCAGCATGTACTTTGGCAGAGAACAAAACCCCTGCCTGGCCAGACAGGCTCCATGCTTCCAAAGTACTGAATTTTGGCTAATTTCCCCTGAATGGTCAATGTTACAGAAAACCCATGTTTCTGCTCAGATATTCTCTCGGGTGGAAATGAAACGGGAGAGACGGGGTACAAACCAGAAGTGGAGGAACAGGCTTTCTCCTCTCCTTGTTCCAGGGCTTGGAGGCCAACGCTGCTGGGAATAGAACTAAATTTAAGTCTCTGCTCTTGCTGAGCGGAAACGTGCCTCACTCAGCAAATGCTCATTGAGCCCTACACTGTGATGCTGAAGATCTGCATAAAAACAACAAGGATCTCCTAAACTTTGGTTTACATCAGCCATGTATTTCCAAAAAGCAAACCAAATGAAGATTTCTTTTTTTTGGTAAATGGAACCCTAACATAAAAGCTCTACTTTTTTTTTTTTTTTTGCTAGAGAAGATTCACCCTAAGCTAACATGTGTGGCCAATCTTCCTCTTTCTTTTCTTTTTTTATGTGAGCCGCCGCCACAGCATGGCCACTGATAAATGAATAGTGTGGCTCTGTGCCCAGAAACCAAACCCAGGGCACCAAAGCAGAGCACGCTGAACTTTAACCATTAGGCCATCGGGGCTGGCCCATAGAGGCTCTACATTTTTTAAAAATGTGTTAAATGAGGTCATTATTTAAATTCTTGAAAGCACTGGGGGTGCTTTTACTAAAAGGAAATTAAGAATTGGAAAACACCAAACTTTCCTGTCTTACACAACAGCGTGGGTTACGTTATAGTGGAGAAATACAACAGAGCACTGGACAGCCCCAGGTGGAGGCAACATACCGTAACTCTGGGAAAGAGGTCCATGTTTGGTGAGCTGGCAAGGTGCAGAATAGAATATGTTTTAATAGAATAAGTTTTTGTGTTTTTAAAGAATTTATTTTTGCCTTTGCTTGTTTGTTCTTTCTTTTGAGGAAGAGTGGCCCTGCGTTAACATCTGTTGCCAATCTTCCTCTTTTTGTTTTTTTTTTCTCCCCAAAGCCCCGGTACATAGTTGTATATCATAGTTGTACAGTTGTAGCTCTTCTATGTGGGATGCCGCCTCAGCATGGCTTGATGAGCGGTGAGTAGGTCCGCGCCCAGGATCTGAACTGGCAAACCCTGGGGCGCCGAAGTGGAACGTGTGAACTGAACTGCTATGCCACCAGGACGGCCCCAAGTTTTTGTTTTTAAAAAACAGATATATGCACGTTTATACGCACACACACACACAAAATATTTGGAAAGATATATAGCGTGTTGTCAACAGTGGTCACCCTCAGGGGCATGACATTTGGGCAAAGGAGGGATGGTGGAAATAATAGGAGATTCATTTTCAAATTTTGTATATTTCTGTGCTATTTAAATGCTTATGACAGGCATGTTCTCTATTTATAATAAAAAATGTACTAATATTAAAATAAGGCAGTATGGTAGGGCAGAAGGAAATGGCCTCGCCGTCAGATCTGGGGCCTCGTCTGGCCCCTAAACTCGGTGACCCTGAACACATCCCCTCCTCCCACTTTGTCATCTTTTTGGTGAAGCGGGTAGGACCAGGTGCCGAGGTCCCTCCCAACTTCGAGGACCGTGACTCTCCAAATAAAGTTTCCTTGAGCTGGCCTTTGGGAACCAAGCTTGAGCCCTGGAATTGTACTTTCCTGCTGAACTGACACCAGATTTCCCTCTGCCCTGGGAAGAAATAAGCCAGGAAATGCTCTTTCCTGGCCGGTGGAAGGGAGGGAGGGGGGCATCTAACACTCTGATGAGGAGCTGCATCCATTAGTTACACATGAGACCATTCCATATAAATTCCAGCTTGAATAATTCAGGGCGTCCTGGAAAGGTTTCCACGTAAACATCAGACACAGATGCATCTGGCTGAATATCCACTCTACCCTACAGGATTCCTTCGCTGCTCCCCGCTCAGGCCAACACTTCCTATGTCAACACCATCCCCTTCGTTGTACCTCAATGGGCTGCCATTCGCCCAGGACAAACACATGCAGCATGTTCACATCTGGATCCTTGTAGAAGATGTTGGGCTTGGCGTGATGCTGGAAGTGGCGATGGTTCCACCAGTTGGCCGAGGCACCCTGTGGGGGAGAAATGCGGGTGAGCAGTGCAGACTGCCGGGGGACCTGAGCTCATCTGACAGACCCTACTCAGGACCAGTTCCTAGTACCTCCAACGTTCAGAGCCAACTTTTTATTACTCACAGGGCCTCGGGCCCTGGAAGTCAGAACATGGCCCTGCCAGTACTCAGTCCACAGCGCTAGACAGCCCCTGGGGCCAGGACTTCTGAATGAAGCCAAGTCACTCCATCCCTCCAGGCCTGTTTCCCCATAAGATGGCGATGGCGGGCAAGAAGTGCTGGGGACGGACCAGCGGCAAGCACTTCAGCAGGTGTGGAGTTGGTCTCCGCACTCCACCAACGCCAGGTGTGAGCCTCCACGCCCCTTATCCTCTACACATCTCCTGTGTGACCGTGTTGTGCAAGGAGTTGGGGTTCCAGGGACAGTAAGAAGTGGCCCTTACCATGTGACCCAGCCTTCCACTCCTAGGTGCGTACCCAAGAGAAATGAAAACACAGCCACAGAAAACTTGTACACAGATGTTCCCAGCTGCATTATTCAAAATATCCAAAAAGTGGAAACAACTCAAATGTCCATCAACTGATGAATGGACAAATAAAATGGGATAGATCCACACAACAGAATACTGTTTGGCCATGCCATTAAAAGGAATGAAGTCCTGACACATGCTACAACATGGATGAACCTTGAAAACATTATGCTACGTGGAAGAAGCCAGTCACAAAGGACCACATATTGTACGATTCCATTCATAAGAAATGCTCAGAGGGCCGGCCCCGTGGCTTAGCGGTTAAGTGCTCACGCTCCGCTGCTGGCGGCCCGGAGTTCAGATCCTGGGTGCGCACCGACGCACCGCTTCTCCGGCCATGCTGAGGCCGAGTCCCACGTACAGCAACTAGAAGGATGTGCAGCTATGACACACAACTACCTACTGGGGCTTTGGGGGAAAAATAAATAAATAAATAAAAATTAAAAAAAAAAGTGCTCAGAATAGAGACATCTATAGAGATAGAGAGATTAATGATTGCCTAGAACTAGGGTTGGGGGTGGATGGGAGGGATGCAGGGGTTGGGAGGTGATGGCTGAAGTGTGGAATTTCTTTTTGGGGATGATGAAGATGTCCCAAAATTGTGATGACGGTGCATAAATCTGTGAATATACTACAAGTCATTGGTTTGTACACTTTCAATGGGTGACTTGTATAGCATGTGAATCATATCTCAATCAAGCTTTTTCAAAAAAACAAAAAAGAAGACCACAAGTGGTCCCTGCTCTCGGAAGGCCCATGGAGTGGTTGGCAAGAGACAGCCCGACAGCCAGACACATTGAGAACAGAGTCACATCACGCCCAAAAAGCTCTAGGGAGAGCTTAATAAACAATCGCCAACATAAACAGGTGAGAGCTTCCTGGTTCTAACATGTAAATATAAAATTACTATTCTAGGAGACAAGAAGTATTACATGAGTATTTATTTCAAGGCCACGAATTTCTGTCTCACCAGCTCAAGCTCCTGACACATTTCGAGGGCCTGTTCCTCCACAAAGTTGCCCAGTGATGCACGGAAAGAAACTAACTTTTTTTTTTTTTGGTGAGGAAGATCGGCTCTGAGCTAACATCTATTGCCAATCCTCCTCCTTTTTTTTTTTCCCACAAAGCCCCAGCAGATAGTTGTATGTCATAGTTGCACATCCTTCTAGTTGCTGTATGTGGGACGCGGCCTCAGCACGGCTGGAGAAGCGGTGCGTCGGTGCACGCCTGGGATCCGAACCCGGGCTGCCAGTAGCAGAGCGCGAGCACGTAATTGCTAAGCCACGGGCCGGCCCGAAACTAACTTTTCTGACTCTTCAGCATGAGGACTTGACTGATGAACTGCTGCTGAGTCAATCAATGCTTTGGCCGAGGGTCTGTCCATCTACAGAAAGACGGATTTGCTAAAACAAATATTTTACTTGGAAGATGCTTTTGGCAACAAACACGGTCTCTGGACACCAACAGCCATGGGCGGGAATAGCTATGTGCAGCTGTGGCCTTTGCGGTGACCTCAGGCCCCTGTAAGCAGGCGGGCCTCAAAAGCCATCAGAGCAAAAAGATGTCGGCCAGTGAGAGCTTAGAGGATTCGGGAATCAGATGACACATTCACCTTATTAGCCAAAGTAACCAAATTCCTGCAAAGAACGAAATGGAAAAGTCCCTGGCACAAAAATATGAAGGGGCAAGGCAGGTTATGAGTAAGTATGATGTTTAGAATACACTCACCAAGAGAGGTTTGTCGAATGAATAAATGAAGGAGAGAAAGGTGGGCTGTGAGCACCATGGGGATGAGTCAGTGAGGTGGGGCCATCCCTGCACTAGGGGTTGGATGTAATGACAAAACATTTTTTGGTGGTACTATTCCGCTGTTGTGATTCTCTTCCATTTTTCTCCGCTAGGCAAAGCCCTACTTATCCTTCACGAACCCTTCCTTCCCGGGCACCACAAAGCCCTGCCTGCCCGGGAACAATGGCGCAGCCCTTGTGTTCTCAGAATGCGGTACCAATGCTGCCTGCCCTGGGGATGAAGTGGGGAAAGAGAGGGAGCTGTTGTCTAGTGAGGGAGAGCTGAGCATCACACCACACGGAGATGGGGCTGAGGGAGCTGGGGAAGTTGCTGGAGGCCGCTCAGAAGGACTGCACTCAGTCCGCAGGCTGGGCAGGAGGGGGCCAGGCAGAATGAGGGTGCTCTTCTGCCAGAGGGAAGAGCCTCGGTGAAGGCCTTGGGGGATGAGGGGAGTGGGAATGTGGACTGTTCTAGAAGCCAAAGGAAGGCCCCTCGGTTGGGCCAGAGACACAGGACCGCAGCCAGTAGTGCTGTGCTGAGCCACATCAGAGCCTGAGGAGAAAGGAAAAATGTGCACCCTGGCTTTAGCAGATGCCAACTCCTCCACAATATTTTCAAAATCTACTTTTTGTCTCATCTTGTTTTCAACTGAGAGAACTGCCAAGTCTGACGACATCTCTCAAGCAAGTGACGATCTTAAATAATTTTCAATTATCTTAAACTGAAGTCAAATAATAAATTCTGGGGCCGGCCCCGTGGCCTAGCGGTTACGTGCGCGCGCTCCGCTACTGGCGGCCCGGGTTCGGATCCCGGGCGCGCACTGACGCACGGCTTCTCCGGCCGTGCTGAGGCCACGTCCCACATACAGCAACTAGAAGGATGTGCAGCTATGACATACAACTATCTACTGGGGCTTTGGGGGAAAAAAAAAAGGAGGAGGATTGGCAATGGATGTTAGCTCAGAGCCGGTCTTCCTCAGCAAAAAGAGGAGGATTGGCAAGAATGTTAGCTCAGGGCTGATCTTCCTCACAAAAAAAAAATAAATAAATAAATAAATAAATAAATAAATAAATAAATAAATAAATAAATAGTTTCAGTATAAATAGTATATTTAAACTCAATGTTAGGACTCTCAATACACCAACTTTCCAATTGTTAAATATTTTTCAGCTACTTTAATGTTGTGGGGGAAAAAAATCAACCACTAAAAAAATACATACAAACATGTATATAGGGGCACAAATTTTTCCTTGTGCCTCAGGTTCCCGTATGGCTCAGCGCAGTCTTAATCTTTATTTAAAATGTTGATATTTTGTTCATTGTGGATTTTTTTTTGCATTAATTTTGTTTGAAAATACAGTTGGTCCTCCGTATCTGCGGGTTCTGCATCCAGGGATTCAACCAACCTCGGATCAGAACCTACAATGGTTGTGTCTCTACTGAACATGTATAGACTTTTTCTCCTTGTCCTTATTCCCTAAATAATACAGTATAACACCTGTTTACATAGCATTTACATTATGTTAGTTATTTTAAGTAATCTAGAGATGATTTAAAGGATACATGAGGATGTGTGTAGGTTATATGTAAATATTATGCCCTTTTATATAAGGGACTTGAGTATCTGTGGATTTTGGTATCTGAGGTGGGTCTTGGAACCAATCCCCTTCAGATACCAACGGACGACTATTTTGCACTAAAATGTTCCTTATCTCTATTACTCAGTTTTTTTGGTGTCCCCTTCAATTCTGCGCTGGAGGCAAATGCCTCACTCGCTTTACCCTGGTCCCGGCCCTGGCAGCCTGAGATGAGCTTGTGAAAAGGCTGGCTGAGTTTTAGATTTCCATCTCCAGATGTGGCGTTTAGATGGCACGGGGCCTGGAAGTGTGTGTTTGATCCTAAGCACAATGCAGAACACTTAAAGGTTTGTAGTTTTTTGTGTGTGTGTGTGAGGAAGATCAGCCCTGAGCTAACATCCATGCCAATCCTCCTCCCTTTTTGCTGAGGAAGACTGGCCCTGAGCTAACATCTGTGCCCATCTTCCTCCACTTTATGTGGGACGCTGCCACAGCATGGCCTGACAAGCGGTGCATCGGTGCATGCTCGGGATCCGAACCTGGGCCGCCAGCAGCAAAGCGTGCACACTTAACCGCTACGCCATGGGGCCGGCCCCCACTTGAAGGGTGTTAAGGAGAGGTGCCACAGCTCAGAATTATCTTTGTCCAAGATCACCCTCTGGAAGAAATGTCCACAGGAAGCGACATGGGCTGAAGGAAAAGGGGAAGTCGGGATGTAGGGAGCTCACCCATGGAATCCTACAGCAGTGCAGGCTGCAGTAAGAAGCAGGTCCCAGTCCCTCCAGGCTCCCAGCACCCTGCTTGCTGTCCTCACCAGCTGGTACTAGAACATCCGAGCTGGCAGGGCACCTGAGGACGCCCCTGCAGCCAGCACCTTTTATTCCCAGAAAGGGACCAGAGGAACGATGGACCTACAAGATATGCCTGCAGCTGTGTGACCACCGAATGCTGTAATCCTCCTGGCCCTGGGGCACCCCAGGTGAGCTGCACGGCCACGCCACTGGCCTAGACACAGCATGGAGGACACAGGTAGCAGGGGGCTGGAGAGCCGTAAGTGGGACCCATGTCCTTGACCTCGTCTAGTCTCCAAGCCCAAGTACGCTGTCTTCCCGTCAGCCCAGCGTTCCAATTCCGTAAGCCAACGTTCTCCATGAAGGCCAATCCTCTGTCCTGGCCTCGTCTTCCGTCTGACGCAGGAGCCTTTCAAGGACCGAGGGACATCAGGCTGGAAAGGCCCTCCCGGCCCCTGCCCAGAATCTGGAAACAGGACACAGCCCATCTTTGTTGAGTGTGTTGGGGGTAACACGGGTCGGGAGGGAAATGTTACTTTCCAATACTGAGGAGGGTTTTATCCAACAGAAGAGAATACAAAAATGTAACAAAGCACTCTACTATGCGCGAATACGCGCGCCCTCTCCCTTCGCCCCTGAAATTCTGGAAAGAAACCAGGTTCTCAGACCGCTTCAGGCTCAGGGCCAGGGAAACTGCTTGTTGTGTAACGAGTTACTAGTTCCACCGTAGTTCACCCCCAACCGGATCCGGAGCTGGCCCGCCAAAGGCTTGATGCAGTCTGGGTCACAGGGGGACAAGCCTAACCCAGACATGTAGCTCTCCCCAAGCCAGGGCGGGGAGGGATGGAACTCATCAGGATGCAGCCTTTCTTAGGAAGCAGCTGGATACTGTTGGGAAAGGGCTGGGGTGGAGGATGAGCTGCTTCAGAGAGAGTTGGCAAGGACTTATCTCCAAAACCAAGGAGGTAATCCTTATCAGACCAGCACAAGGTCACAGACAGGTCCAGTTTGCACTTTTTTTTTTTTTTTTTTTTTGGTGAGGAAGATTGGCCCTGGGCTAACGTGTGTGGCAAATCCTCCTCTTTTTGCTTGAGGAATAAAGCAAAGCTGAGCTTAACATCGGTGCCAATCTTCCTCTATTTTATATGTGGCATGCTGCCACAACATGGCTTGATGAGCAGTGTGTAGGTCTGCACCTGGGATCTGAACCCATGAACCCCCCGGGGCGCCAAAGCAGAGAACACAAACTTAACTGCTATGCCACCTGGCCAGCCCTCCAGCTTGCCTTTTTACAAACTTGGTGAGCTGTAAGGCTTCTACAGGTCTGCCTCCTCATCTGCTGAGCGGTGAGAGGAGAGATACCTCACCTTCTAAGTTTTAAATGACTCTGATCCTTCGGCTCAGTTAATCATTACATGGTTTGACGTCCCTTATCTAAAGACTGACATGATGGCAATATCTCCTTTTCATATCCCATATCCTTCCAAAGTATATTCGAGATGGTTTATGATAAAGGACTGTGTATACAACAGAATGTTTAAAATAAAGATAAAGGCTTAAATGAGATGCAATGGGAGGGAAAGATATGAACAAAAACACAGGCTCAGGAGAGTCGCTGTTCCAAATCTGGCTTTGTGTTTCCTGGCACCCAAGGGGGAAAAAAAGAGGAATACAGCACCCGAGGGGGAAAAAAAAAAGAGGAATACAGAGGTCTTAAATTGCTCACATTCCCAGTGGAGGGAAGCACACCAATTCATCAAGACAGACTGCTCCTTTACTGGCCTAAACTTAAAGGAATTTATTAGATAAGCTCTTAGATAAGGAGCAAACAATTCAATCATCTGAGTCAATAGACAAAAGAGGCATGCATCTGTTTTGATCATTAGTACGCTGGGTTTTGTGGTCTAATGAGATACAGAGACAGAGCTCAGAAGGTCAGAGAAGTGGAGAATTCGAAAGTCCTGCAGGCCAGCCAGGACACTGACCTGAGAGGGGACCTGATCTCAAAGGGGGATGGCGCTGCGCCAGCTGCTAACCGATGGGACGGATGCCCAGGGCCGCTAATGTTTACCTTTAAGTGGCCAATGACGAACTTGTGGACCAAGTGGTTCCACATGGATTTCTTATAGACAGAGAGGTGGCCGTAGTCGTGTTGCAGCCATCCAGCTTGGACCTGGGGAGAGAGGGCCACAGATGCGGCGTCAGCACGCGTGCACCGGACCTCTGCGAGCTGGGGGAGTCAGGGGGGTGGGGGGGCTTCAAGTGATGGATGAGGGTGGCACGCCTCACCTGAGAGGTAGCAAGCACACAGGCCGTGATGACAGTTGGGATCCAGCCATTGCCGAAGTAAGAGACGGTGAACCACGCGATGCTCTCCATGGCGATGACGTGGGCCAGGAGGAGGAGGAAGAACAGGTGGTTGCTCTTGAACAGGTTCATGTCCTCAGCAGTCTTCCTCAGGGCCCGGAAGTCCTCGGTGATCTGGGACTGTAGAGCAAGAACACAGGGAAGGAGTCAGCCACCCAGCCACTCTGAAGGGGACCGATGTCTTCTTAACACCCACTGCACTGCCTGGAGAAATTGTGGGGAGAGGGGACCAATCCACAAACCTATGCCCCTTGGGAGCCCGGCCACCGTACACTACAACCGCAGCTGATCCCATGCGCCTGCTGTGGGCCTCACACCACCCTGGGGGCTGTGTGTTTGTCCACAGCCAGTTAAGTGGCAGAGAAAGGATTTGACTCAGAAGCTTGCATTTTGCACACCCATGTTCACAGCAGCATATTCACAATAGGCAAAAGGCAGAAACAACCCAAATATCCCTTGATGGATGAATGGCTAAACAAAATGTGGTCTATGAATAACAATGGAATGTTACTCAGCCTTAAAAAGGAAGGAAATTCTGACACATGCTATAACAGGAATAAACCCCGAAGACATTATGCTAAGTGAAATTAAGCTAGACGGGAAAAGACAAATACTGTATGAGTTCACTTATCTGAGGTACCTAGAATAGGCAAACTCATAGAGACAGAAAGCAAAATAGTGTTTACCAAGGGCAGGGGGGAGGGGGGAATGAGGAGTTAATGATTAATGGGGATAGAGTCTCAGTGTGGAATGATGGAAAAGTTCTGGAGATGGATAGTGGTAATGGTTGCACAACAGTGTGAAAGTACTTAATACCAGTGAACCGTACACTTAAAAATGGTTAAAATGGTAAATATTATGTTATGCATATTTTACCACAATTAAGAAAAAAAAAGTTTACATTTTCCAACACCCGACACTGCACCACCTGTTCTGGGCACTCTAGTGGGGTTTGAAGGGGTTGAGATGGGGGAGACACAAAACAGTGCAGGACAAGTCCCTGCCCGGAGAGTTCAGGGAGGCAGGAGAGGACTGGGTGGGCACTGGGCATGCGGGTCCAGGGAGACTGAGGCAGAGTCAAGGACAGCTCTGGGGAAATGAGGGCATCGCCGGGAGAAGGGAGGAAGCTGGCAGCAGGAGGGGAAGAACGTGGAGGGCAGGGAGCTGAAGGTATCCACTGGCCATACCCAGGACACTCTGAAGGGCAGGTAGGGTGGTGTGTGGGTGGAAGCAGCTCCATTTGGGAGCCTGGGTGATGAGTGGTGAAGAACCCCAAGAGTGGCTGTCAACCACTTCAACAGCAGTGGATGGGGCACAGTGGGGTGGGAGCTAGAGAAGACCGTCAGGAAGTGGGGAGCCTGCAGGATGCAGCAGAGGGGAGAGAAGCTACCTGCCTGGAACGGGGCTGGAGAGTGTGGAAGCAGGTGGAAGATGAGCAGACCATGAAGGAGGCAGAATGGAACCCCGGGTTAGCTCCAGCGAGGGGAAGGCCAGACACAACAGTGAGGGGACCAGGCAAGAAGGAAAGACCCTGTGCTCAGCCTGGCTCCTCGGAGGCCCCAGAGCTGGAGAGGCTGGGACTGCATTGCTCCAAGGAGGGGGCCTGCCCTGGCTGGCAACAAGAGGAGGGTGGCCCCCCGTGGCCAACGGAGGTTCCGAGTCCTCCCTGACCCCAGGTGATGGGCAGTGGCTCCCCTTGGACTGGCATAAGGGGTCCCTTGCCCCACGCCCGGCATGCTCCATCTCGGGGCGGGGACCCCCTCTCCCTGCAAACCCCCAACTCCTTCTTTGTCTGACTCACGTTCTTGCCGCGGTCCTGGCTGGGCTCCTCCGGGGCCAGCTCGCCGATCAGCAGGGGCTTCAAGAACTTGCTCACGAAATTAAGGTCGCGGTGAAAGGCATGGAAGGCATCCTGGGAGCAGAGGGGCAGGTGGTGAGTAGGGGACTCCGACTTTGGCCTGCGGAGGGCAAGGATCACCAGCAGAAGCTCTCTCTGTCCCATCCGGAAACAGAAAGGGGCCTCCCATGAGCGGGCCCCAAATGCTCTCTCGGGCCTCATCCGGGACAGAGCTTCAGTGCCCAACTCCAACAGCGGTGTCATCTGAGTCTCCGCCCGGAGGAGCGGCCACTGGGCTTGCCAAGGGTGTGTGGATAGACATGCGGGCTGCCTGACGTGTGGGCAAGTCAGAAAAATGCACCCCTCCGGGGAGATGCACCGTGTGGGCATGGGGCTGGGCAGGACCTGGGATGGACACAAGTCTCCACGGGCTTTTCCGCTGGGTGCCCAGTACCTGGCAAACCGCACCACCCACCACCCCGTGCCCACTGCTGTCAACAAAAAGAACAAGCCTGGAGACTACCACGGCATGGAAAATGCACTTAGGAGATAATGCGAAACCAAAACCAAATGCAGAACTAGGTCACAGGTATTTCTGAAAAAAGCTTTTTCATAATTTGAAAAAGTATGAAATTATGAAAATTATGAAAAAAATTTTTACGGGAGGCTCTAAATTATTATGTGTTAAGGTGGTGGCGTTATGCCTTGCTTTATTTTCATTACTTTCCACACTTTCCCTAACGTTATACTGCTTTTGAAATAAAAAAAATTAATGTTATGCATTTTAATCTTTTTTTTGGATTATCAAGTAATAATGTGCCTAGTTTGGCCAAATTTAGAAAATGTACAGATGAATAGAGGAAAATAATACCACCCAGAGAGTGACTACCGTTGCTAATATTTTACCATACTTCCTTCCAGTTTTTTTCTATACATATTATGTATATTACATAAATTGTCTCATAACAAATATAGCACTCCCATTAGAAATGAGCCAGTACCATTTCCCCTGAGGGGATACAGTATGACATTCCAGCCATAAACAGCATTTACCCTGCATTGCACCAAGCTTTGAGACGTTCTAGGATAGAGGACGTTCTAGGATAATTCAGATGACACCAAGATAAACAGAAAAATCAGTGTAGTGGGAAAAAAGTCCTGGCGTGCATGTGGGAGGTAGTCCAGAGTAAAAGAGACTGAAAAAGATGTAAGAAAAATATATAAAAACTGCAATACTCGATCTGAAATGCTCTCATTTGGAGGAGGAAAAAAACCCCCAGCAGTTATACAAGATATTTTTGGGGCTGAATGATAAAATTTAAATATGGACTGAATATCTGATCCTATTAAGGAATTACTATTAATTTTCTTAAATATGACAAAAGTATTGTGATTATGTTAGAGAGTGTCCCTCTTCTTAGAAGATGGTGGAGAATTTAGGGATGAACGTGGCACAGTCATGCAACATATTTTCATGGGATTCAGCAAAAGAAAATTGCACAAGCATCAACAGGAAGAACGGAAACCGGGCAAAATGTTGAGATTAGTAAATTTCGGTTGAGGATTTACAGGTGTTCACTTATTCTTCCAACATCTCCGTACGTTTGGAAAATTTCAAAATTTAAAAAAAATGGAGGAGGAATGCGGAAAACGCTGGCAACTCATAAAAATGTTTTCACTCCCCCACCAAAGTGTCTCGAAATGGTAATTGCCAGTCTTCTTCCGTTTTCTTACTGCATCCCTGGCGTCAAGTCCTTTTGCCTGGGCTTTGTTCTGTTTGTGTCTAGAACAGACTCACAAAGCAACACTTTGTGCCGAGGAAAACTGGGGCCCAGAGTTTTAAAAGTCTGTGTCCCCCGCCTCTAGCTGAACAGAAGGAGATGGTCGAAGAGGATTAGATCAAGTATATTTTCAGAGAAGAGATGGGCAGCTATTCCAGGGTCCTTGGGCTGGCAGTGAGGAGGCCTGGGGTCCGGCGCTGACCAGCTCTGCCCACGCTGAGCCAGCCGCCCCCACCCTAGCCTCAATCTCCTTTGCAAAGTGAGGACCATCCCGGCTCCGATGTTCCAAGTCGGGGAAAATCTCAGCAGGAGCTTTCACAGTCAGGGCCCAGGTGCAGGTGGGATAGTGGCAAGCACAACTGCCTTCCAAAGTCAGGGCCTAAAAAGGCCTTTCATTGCTCCTCCTCACGTCAGACCGTGGCTTTTGAGAAACGAAGGAGCAGCCCTTGGTAAGACGGTTTCCCAATGATTACTCACTACTTTTCACTGAGAGGTAAAATTCCATAGTCTGCAAGTGGATTCATCTTGCAGTCAGCTCCCGCGGCCCCCCACCAGGTCCATGTCATGCCTCCAAGCCCCTGCCCAGGCTGAGGAACCTGGTGGAGCAGGCAGACAGACTCCTGTCCTGACCGCGGCCACTCCTCGGTCATTTCCAGAGGGCTGTCAGGGGGCCTTACCTCCCTGAAGCCTGGCGAAGGGAAGGGCCACGTGCCAGGTCGGGAGCCAGGAGCGTTGTTTATGTTCCCTCCCTGAAGCCTCAAAGCCCTGCTTTACCAATGAAGACACTGGGAGCGCAGGAAGGTGACAGTCCCGTGCTCCAAGTGGCAGAGCCAGGATCCGATCCAGGTTCACCTGACTCAGGCACACTTCCCCACACACCACATGCCTTCTGCCGGTGTAGAAAGCTGTTGATTGTCTGACTGTCCGTGGTAGATCCGACAGCCTTCCAAGTAGGCCTAGTGGGAATCCCTTGAACCCACCAAGCTCATTCCCACCCCAGGGCCTTGGCTCGGCTCTTCTGCCTGGAGCCCTGCTCTCACAGCGTCCTGTGGCCAGCTCCCTTTGGGATGCACCTCAAGGAGGCTTTTCCTACCACCCCATCTGGAACAGCCACCCTCCAGCCCCACGCTTTCTCTGGGACATTGCCCTGTTGTATCTTCTTCATAGCAGTTATCAAGGTCACAAGCTACATTATGTACTCACTTCTTTCTTGTCTGTCTCCCCTGCTGGATATAAGGGCCATGAGGGCCACGCCTGTCCTGTTCACTGCAATAACCCCAGTGCCTCCAACAGTGCCTGACAGGAGGGCTCGCAAGTGAATGTGGGGACCCAGGACCCCACAGCTGTGCACCCTCCAATCCCAGGAGGCTTTTCCACTCTGCAGTCACGTTCAGACTATTCTCTTCTTCTGCCATTTTGCACCACTGGGCTTATGCTTCTAGAACACCAGAACTCTTCACCTTCTCCAGCACCCACAACCCATTCGTGGTTGGTAGAGCTGCCACATGCTGAGATGACGTAGGTCAGCCACTGAGCCATGGGCTTTGCACACATAAGCCACTAATCTTCACCAAACTCTGTGAGGCAGGTCCTATTTCGGAGACGAGAAGAGGCTAAGGGAGGTGAAGCTACTCGCCCACAGTCACACTCCAGGTGTGCCTAACTCTAGAGTTTTCTGCTGTTAATACAAAGGCCTCAATCAAAATAAGCTTCCCCCGCCGAGAGTTGATCACTTTTTGTGTCTCCCCCTTCAAAGTGTCACAGATGCACTTCACACACTTGCAGAAGGTTCCCAATTGCTGCTTGGTTACAGAAGTATCTGGCTGGCACAAGGTAGGCCATGGGGCAGAGCAAGACAGAGCCAATTCAAACGTTGATTTTGGAACAGGAATTGGAACCAGGTTCTATTCTCGTCTGACAGGGAGAGAAGCCAAAGACTTTCCAGAAAGAAGGCCCCAGGCATGAGTGAGGAGAAGGGAGTGGCAAACAGGTTGAGAGCGAAGCTGAAGCCACCCCCAATAGGGCAGGTGAGTGTGTTGGGGGTGAGGAGGTCAGGCTGCAGGAGAGAGGGCCTGAACACCCAGATTGCCAAATGGAAGACGTGTGTGCGTCACACTTCCTGGCCTTCACCAGTCCCTGCTTCAGCCATCGCCCAGTCCAGTGCCAGCCAACTTCTGCATGAAGACATCTTCCCTGCCCCGGCCCCACTCCGGCTCCTCCCCCCACACGGAGCATCCGGTGCCATGATTTGTTTCTGGCTGTCTCCACCTTCTCTGCAGAGCAAGGCTAGTCTCTAACTCAGCCTTGCACATCCGGGCACTTGGCCCAGGACGCGGGAAGAGCAGGAGGAGGAAGCTCAGGGCCCACAATGACGCAGGCAGCAGCCCCGGGAACGGGGACGCCGTGGAACAAGTGGTTAGAGAGGGAAAAGCAGAGGAGGGACCCTGAGTTCTCGGGTGGAGATACGGACGCTGACTTCCTTTCCACCGCAGAAAGACGCAGGCAGGGCTGGAAGCCCCTCTGCCATGTGCCCTCCAATGGAAAGAAGCAATGGAGGCTGGTGGGACAGTGCTCTGTGGCCAAAGGGTCGTGGGCGAGAATGTCCCTGCTGATGTGTGCTGGAAACACGTGCACACATGCACACGAGGCTAAGAGACACCCGGGGATGCTCCCTCACACCTATCTAGAGTTCTGAAGTGTAAAGAATGATCCCACGCACAGCCCATTTGAGCCTGATAATCATCTTCCCATTTCATAGACCTAGACAGAGAAGTTCAGGGTAAGTGCCTGGCCCAAGAATTCATAAAGCTGGGACGCAAACCCAAGTCCTCGGCCTTGAAATACCAAGACCCTCCTGCCCTGTCTAAAGAAGGATGGAGATTCATTCCATCTTCAGTCTGTTGCCTTGCCACAAGAACAGCATAGGAACAGGATGGAAGATGGAATGAATCCTGACCTCCCTGCTTTGGAAGAGGCCACCCATGCAGACAGGGCAGGAAAAGTTGCCCAGACAAGGCAGGAGTGGGGGCACGGGTGGGCGGGAGCTGGTGTCCAGAGGCAGAGGGTCTGGATTCAAGTTTCAGCTTGAGGGGAAGGAAGGAAGTATACCCAGTAGATGTGGTCACTGTCTGTGAATTATTCATCTTTGTGCCAGGGCCCAGCTCAGAACCATGGAGAGACTGAATAAATCTGTATGAATCACTGCTGAAGATTACAATCACTGCTGAAGATTACTTTTCGAGCAGGGAAAGTTCTGCAGTGGTGAGACTCTGTCGTGAAAAGAGCAGAGACATCCTCGGGATGAGGGTTCCTTTTGCCCAGAGCAAGAAGACCAGAGAAGTGCCAAAGGACCAGGGGGAAAGAGATCAGAGGTGGAGCAGGAAGGAAGGGAGGGAGGAAGGGGAGGTGGGCTGGGAGGACTCAGTGACGGAAGATCCTGAGTTTAAGCCCAAGCGCTTGAGCAAGGTTTTTAAACCTAAGAGCAATGAGAGACACTTACAGGGTTTATCCGAGGGCTAAACCAGGTAATATGCACGACGGTGCTTTGTGAGCTGCCAAAATGAAGCGACTTTTATTCTGACATGCAAGGCCAAGTTCTAATTTCCGCAGAAGGACCAAATGACAAGGTCATAGCTTTGGGGAAGAGGCAGTCCTGACTTCCGAGGTCTGGTCTTCAGAAACAGGAAAATTCCCTACTGAGGCCCAGAATTGTCACAAGAAAGGCTTCCAGCCTCTTGCGAGGACACTACTGCTTTGTGATCAGCTTATTAGAGCGCATCAAGGTGTTCCACGGGATGCAACCTCTATCTGCCACCAGTCCCTCCCCAAACTTTCAGCGACCATAAAGACTCTGTCAGTCCCCAAGCTCTGAGGAAGAAGTTCACGTCCCAAGGGGCAAAGCCATCTGCTCAACAGCCTAAAGACGAAGGTCTCTTGATTCCTAGCCTGTTCTTGCCTCTCCCTTCAAAACCCCTTCCCATACACTCCACATTTCCATGGCCTTTTTCCAACCTAGTCGCAGACATTAAAAAAAAGAGAGAGAATCCAGTTTCTCACTCCACCATTACTCAACTATATCCCCACTTAGTGCATTTCAGGCCCTATAAGTCTTATCTTGGAAGGCAGTAAGCCTTGGAGATAGGAATTGTCTTTATGTCTTCCCACACAAAACAAAGCTGACATAGATTTAAATTTTTTCCTCCAAATTCCTCTTTGTTTACTTTACCTTCTAGCTCTTACATAATCCTCACTCTTATTCTCACGTGTCTGATAATTCTCCATTGCACTTATCTAGGGCTTACAGTTTAAAAAGTGCTTCGCCACATAAGAAAATATATTTTTTTCCACATAAGAAAATATGTTTCTTTAACACTAGGGAATAATCAGACCAATCCATCATATTTGACTTTTCCTTCCAGGAAACTTTTTGGTGAAGGCCTGACCAGGGTAGGAACCTTCTAGAATTTACCTATGGTGACCAGGCTAGCACAAGTCCAGCAACATGGAATAGCGCAAAGACCTCCAACCAGGAGGCAAAAGGTCTTTTATTTAGGAATTCCCTTTATCCAACCTCTTCACATCGGTGTGGGAGTATCTAAGTGAGATGCACTGATGGTGTCTGCAAACCTTATATTCACCTAAGTAGTCTGATCAGCAGCAGAGCCCTAAGGGCTTAAGAGTGTTCACAAGCAGGTAAAAGGGAGTGAGCCTATCAGTGACCCTCTTCTCAATCTTGAATATGCCTGAACCCTGTTCACCAAAGCAGCAAGCCAATCAACAGCCTAGATCGTGACTGCCTGGTCTGACCCCCGGGGCTAGGCCTGTCCCAATGAGAGGAAGAGGTAAGAAGGTCAACAGTTCCACGGAAGGACAGGGGCCCAAACAGCTTGGACAGCAATAGCCCAATAGGTCAGCATGCCAGCTCCACGTGGAATGTGCTATGTCAAGCTTATCCCTCCCACAGCCTTGCCCCTATTCACCTTCCCAAGGTTCTCTCTCCCCCCAGCTCACTGCCACCAAGAGAGTCCCCTTTCTTCTCTCCTTGACTTGTTCTTTTCCCTCCCACTTGAGTCCATGGGGCTACAGCTGCATCTTAAAGAAATGCAAGGATTTCAGACTGGGAGTTGGGGGACACCGTGGGGGTGCTGTGTAATCGCAGAGCTACACATTCGGTGCAGGTGGGATGGGCAGCCCGGGCTCCCAGGAGGCTCCCCGGCTCGACTACCGTTAGCAGTGCAAGAACAGGGAAGGGCATTCCTGGCAGGATTTTAAAACAGAGGACCATTGAGTTGACCGCCCAGAGTAACCTCGGGTGCAGCTGGACCTGTTGCCAAGCCAGCCTAGTGCTGCTAAATCCAGGCGGCTCAAGATCCCTCTCGACCTGGGCTTTGCAAACTCCAGCCCTTTCTCTTTCCAATTCCCCACCCCGCTCCCCAAGAACGCCGACCCGTGGGGTGGGTCCTGTTAGTCTTTGAAAGCGTGGGAACAGGAGCTACTAGGCGGTCCCTCCCAGGCAGCCATTGCGGACTTTCTTAGCCAAGAATCCAAGCAGCAGCGAGCCGTGACCGGGAACAAGCTTTCCTTCCCCGCCCCCTAGTCTGACTGGAGAGTGAGGGACGCGCGCTGAGTCCCACACCTGGTTCCTCTCCCGCTCCTTTCTGCGGCGCCCAGGGGCGGCCATCTTCCACACTGGGGGCGCCAAAGCCCTAGGGCCCGAGTGATCCCTGTGGCTAGTCCCTGGACCCGGATGAACCCAGCGGAAGGAGCGGACCGCTGGATCCCAGTGCGCATGGTAGATCCCGCGCGGTTCTCTACCGTTTAGATCGCCACCGCGGCGCTGCCTCCCAGGCTCGAAAATCCGAACCCCACAGCAAGTTGGCCCATCTGTTCCAGAGGACCCGGATTCGGGGCGGGGGATGAACGCAGCAGACACACTTTCCTTCCCTCCTGGGCGCCCCAAGCTTCATTCAGCGCTGGAGGTCTGTTTGGCGCCCTGGGACCCAAGGCTCCTGACTCCCGCCTGCAGCAGAGAAAGGTGGCGGGAGAGCCCCCAAACCCTTACCGTAGCATCTTCCCCCGCGTAGTGCCCGATGACCCGCTGGCCCCCCGGGTGCCGGCTGGACCATTTGGTGATGTTGTAGACCTTGCGGTCAATGACGAGCCACCTGTCGGTACGCAGGTTGTGCTTCTGAATCTCCTCCCAGCTGAACGTGGGCATCGGCACCTCGCGCTCGGTGGCCCCCTCGCCCTGGTTCCCCCCCTTCCCCATGCTGCTTGCAGACAGGGATACCCCGTGCACTGCGGCCTCCCTGCGCCGGCTGCCGGTGTGTGCGGCCGGAGCCCTCCTCGCTTTCGGCTTTTGTCTTCTCCTACTCCTCCCCCCAACCACGCCCCCGCCCCCAGCCTCCTCGCCTGCGCTTGGGAGTATCCTTGCCTTCCCTCCGGAATACCCCTGGCTTCCCAGTGCCCCCAGGCGGTCCCCTTCCTCCGCCCCTCCCTCCGCCCGCCAGCCCTCTAGGGACTTTTGCCTCGGGTAAAAACTCCCGGGTAGCTCAGGGCCTCGACACCTCCTCCGCCCGCCCCTCCGGCTCCCCCCGCCCGGGGCTCAGCATCCTCCCGCGTTCCCCACCGCCCGGGTTTCCACAGTGATCAGCAGAGCGTCTGCACCAATCAGGAGGCGTCGCCCCGCCTGCCATTGGCCCAGGAGGATCTTTCGAAGGCCAGCGGGCTGGAGCAGCGGTCCCCAGCTCCCCCGCCCGCCCGCCCGCGCGGAGTTGAGCCGGGCGGCTTGGCCAGCTACGTGCCGGACCTCCTCCCCCACCCCGCTCCAGCCCTGGGCGCTGGAGATCCCAGCGGAGCAGCGCGGACGAGCGGGGGCGCGCAAGCCCAGCGCTCGCGAGGTTTGCACCTGATGCCGGCACAAAGAGGGCTCGGCCGCGCGGCGTGCAACAGCCGGGGCTGGCGAGCGAGCGGGTGGCGCCGAGCCTCGCGGCTGGCGAGCTCCGCTCTGGCATTGGCTTGGCTAGGTGACGCCCTTCCCCTCCTCCAGCATCTCCACGTTGTCCGCGCTCTCCACGTTGGCGCTCTCCTGCATCTTCCTGGAGAAACGAGCCGGTCTCGGGCTCGTCCAGGGCTTTGAACCCTGTAATCAGACGATCTTAGAAAAGAACCGCGGAACCGCTGCTCTGCTTCCTTGTGCTAGGCGCCATGGTGGTGGGAGGAGGGGGGCGCCATGGTGGGAGGAGCCGGGGCGCGACAGAACACGGTCCTTGCCCTACACTCAGTTGGGAGACAGAAATTGGAAGCAATACAGGACCACATATGATTAATTGGGCAGTGGTGTTGTACAGGCTCCAGGAAGTAAAGATGGGGATATGAAAAGGATATTTGGGGGCAGGCCCCCAGACCCCAGCTGGATGGAGCTGCTTAGGATCAGTGCCCCGAGCGAAAGGATTCACCCAGACCCCTGGATCCGGAAGGCTGACTGGCGATAAGTGGGAAGTAAGGATGAACGGGAGGAGCTGGCGGGGTGAGGATGGCCTTGGGAATCCGGAGTTAATAAGGGGCCCTCATGTTTCAGTGGGATGATTTCCACGTGCTCCAGTGTGGTGGCACTCTCGTCATTAGCTTCTCACCCCAACCCTGTGAGGTGAACAGGACCCATATTTGTTATATCTAACTTTAACCTGCAGAGGCTGAGGTTTAAGAAAGATGAAAGGGCCAGATGCGTATGGTTAGCAAGTGGCACCGCTGGGCCCCTTCCAGACGGCACACTCCTTCTCCCCTAATGAGGTTAGTGGAAAGGAACCGTTGTAGAAACTGCTGGGGAGCAACCTGATGCGGGAGGGGCAGAAAGATCGCTGACCCACTGGTGGGGGGCGGGGCAGTGGGGGAGGTGTTCCCACAGTGGTCGGCCTCCTCTAGACCCTGGCATATCACTCAGATATCAGTCCCTAGCGTCCTTCATTCACGCCACAAACTCCAGACAGGAAGAGAACAAGGCCTCTCTGGCTTTGAAGAGCGGGAACAGACCTCCAGACCAAAAAGCCTTACTCACAAGATAAGAGGACGCAGCAAGCACCCTGGGAGAATAAACTGACTTTTATGCCTGTTAAACGTTTACTGAAATGATAACTAAGATTATTTTTCCAAAGGGGGGATTAACACAATACATAAATTACTCTAATGAAAAATTTTAAAAAGTCGTGAAGCTTAGAAGGAGTGATATCTGAAAGGGAGACCCAGGGATTATCTTATGGAGGAGCCTCACAGGCTGAGAAAAGAGCATGTGAGAAGGCATGGAGGCCAGCTTCATGTTTAGGGTGGGCAAGAAGTGTGGACCGGCCAGGGTGTGGAGTTCCCAGAGATCCAGCATACCAGGACCCAGAGTAGGCCCTGAGAAACATTTGCTGAAGACATGAATGAATGAATGAATGAACGAACAGTGAGGACGGGCTGCAACCTGATGTAGGCAGGGTTGAAACTTGGAAAAGTTGGTAAGGATGAAGGACTTTATCCTGGAGGAGGTGGGCTATTTCGTAAAACAAGAACATGCATGACCAGATCTATGGTGCCGAAAGAGAACTAAGGAGGCAAGTTGGGGCTGGGGTGGGATGTAGGGGAGAGACTCTGGAAGCAGCAAGATCAGTTCAGAGGCTACCATAGCGCTCCAGGAGGGAGAAGGGGAGGGAGCCTGAACTAAGAGAACCTTAGAAGCCTGGAGCGCACACTAGACACTGCTTTGCCCCATCTGCCCTCTTCCTGCTGTATTATTTATTGCTCTCATTGCTTGGATGGACTGATGAGACTGTCCCCTTAGAAAAAACGCCATAGATGCCAGCTGACCCCAGAGTCACTTAGGAAAAGGAGTGATCTCAGAGAGGGACAAGGTTCCCATGGCTTCCTCCTGCCCTGCAGAATCCCTCCCCACCGCCTGCAGCAGTACCAAGGACTGCAGCTTCCTGGGGATCTTGCCAGGACCTCATTGTGAACATTGCACTTTATCAGGGACAAAAGAGACCAGCCTGGGTGGCTTGGAGCCCAGGCCCTCTCAGCCAGCCAAGTGGGTGAAAAGCTAGGCAGAGTGGGGAGGTGCTTGGTTGACAGCTTGGAGGGATGGAGCCCACGTCACCAGTCCCCAAAGAATGGGTGAGAGGGGTTTCCATGGTCCTCACAAGGAGTCTCTGATGTCTGCTGGTAAATTGTCCGGGTCCTGGAACCGAAGAGAGAAGTTAATCAGAGGGACAGTGAAAGTTAAAGACACCCAAAGGGAGCAGCCCCTGGAGCAGGGAGAAGGAATATGATTCTGACAGAGCACCTCACGGGCAGAAGACCAGCTGGCCGAAGCAGAATGCTCTTCCTGGCGCCTTCTGTCTCTTCCTTTCCTTGGTTGATAAATATGGCCAAATTGCCCCTGATTTTTAAAAAATCTTCAAAGTCAACTTTTTCTCAAGCCGTGGCCCCCATCTTTCACAGTCCATTTATTGTTGAATTTTGTGAATGCGTAGTCAACCCTCCTTGGGTCTACTTTCTGTCTCCCATTCATTTCTCGGATCATTACAGTCTTCTCCAATTCTAATAGTAGTGATAACAATCCCTCCTATTAGCCTATCAGGTTGGGGTGTGCAAAGGACCCTCTTATGGTGGACAAGCCCTTGGCACAATGCCAGGTACAGAATAAGCATTCAGTAGGCAGTGGTTCTTATCCTTCCTGTTCCTGATCTCATTCTTCCCACCAAGTCCAAAGGTAGGTATTATTACTCCCTCTTTGTGGATGAGGACACAGACTCTCAATGAGATAACAAGTCTGGCCCCTCAACCAGCAGGTAGTAGGCTGAGACCTAGAACTCGGACCCGAGACCCTGCTCCCAGCAAGCCTTCTAGAACCCTCTCTGAAAGGTCACCAGCAAGTCCAGTCGCCCCTTCTCAGGCCTCTGAGAGGCGTCTGGGAGGCTGACATCCCTCTCCCTTGGTTCTTCGACAATGCACAATCCTGATTCTACTGTTGGAATTTTTGTCCCACCTTTTTTGTCTCCTCCATTTGTTTCTCTTCCTTCTCCTCCCTCCCTTAAATGTTCTTGGCCTTTGGCTCACTCGATATTTTTCTCTTTCAGGGACCACATTTGGAAAGAGTCTATATCTCAACTCTACATCCACTTACCTCCTACTCATGCAAAGTGGAATGTCCCCCTAGCGCTCAAACTCAATGTAACCTCCCTGAGTCAAGGGACAGTTCTCCCCAAATGTGTTCTTTGGGCCTATCCATGTCTAATCTTCACTGTTTCTGGTGCAAAACTGAATTTGTCATCTTCCCTTCCAAAAATCAGCCCTTCCTTTTAACTTCTTCATTTCTATTAATGGCACCATTCTTCCTCCTGTCACTCAGTCTCCGAACTCCAGAATGTCTCATACTTCTCTTCTCTTGCCTCCCACCCTGATAAAAAAGTTGTGTTGGACTGATGCTTCCTCTGTCAGCGTTTTCCATCTGCCCCTTTTATTCTTTTATTGATAGAGTTCCCCAAAGACATTGGCCTTGCCTGCAGCTCCAACCCAAAAGGCTAAAAAAATAGAGGATGTCATCAGAGAGGAAGCTGGGGGGAAATTACCTTATTTTTGTGCGAAATCATGGTAGGAACACCCCAACTAGTTCTGATCATGAAGCCAACTAATGACTAAGGAGATGGATGTTCCTTAGTCTGCAAAGGATGTTCCTCATTAATCTGCAGATTGAAAGAAGAACAAGAAATAATGAAGGGCTCTAAGGGGCAATCAGACTTGATCACTAAATCCTAGAACACCAAAATAAGAGGCACCCCCTCGAGACCTGAAGAGGAGAACTAACACAAGGAGGCATATAAAAAGAATGCTTACTTTATCTAGTGGGAAAACAGTGTAAGGAAGAACAGATGATGCCCATTCTAGAATACTTGGGGAACACAGGCTGGGTGGGATGTGTCTAATCTTCGATTCTCACATCAGATAAGATCATTGTGCACTTTTACAATGTGTCCCTCTGTGTCCCTGTCAGGGAAGGATGGTGGCATGATGGATCACAAGCTGGACTCCAGATAATTCTGGAATTAGAATGCCCAGATTCTATCCCAAGCTCTGGCCCCTCTTGGCTGTGTGACCTTCTATGACCAGGTCACTTTATTTCTCCCTCTTTTTTTTTTTTTGTGAGGAAGACCAGCCCTGAGCTAACTTCTGATGCCAATCCTTCTCTTTTTTGCCGAGGAAGATCGGCCCTGGGCTAACATCCGTGCCCATCTTCCTCTACTTTATATGAGATGCCGCCACAGCATGGCTTAACAAGCGGTGCGTCAGTGCGCGGCCGGGATCCGAACCGGCGAACCCTGGGCAGCCGCAGCGGAGTGCTCGCACTTAACCGCTTGCACCACCGGGCCGGCCCCCTCACTTTATTT